CTCTCTCTCTCTCTCTCTCTCTCTCTCTCTCTCTCTCTCTCTCTCTCCCTCCCTCCTCTCATGGAGACACCTGAAGTGCGCTTGGGGGTACACAGGGTTCCTATGGTCTTCTTGTGAAGGCCAGGCTGAGAACAGTGAAGAAAGGGGCTCGATTAAAAAGAGATGATGGTGGGGCGCCTGGGTGGCGCAGTCGGTTAAGCGTCCGACTTCAGCCAGGTCACGATCTCGCGGTCCGTGAGGTCGAGCCCCGCGTCAGGCTCTGGGCTGATGGCTCAGAGCCTGGAGCCTGTTTCTGATTCTGTGTCTCCCTCTCTCTCTGCCCCTCCCCCGTTCATGCTCTCTCTCTGTCCCAAAAACAAATAAAAACGTTGAAAAAAAAATTTAAAAAGAGATGATGGGTAAAGCCATCACCTGACCAGGAGTCCTTGAAAGCCCCAAGCTCCTCTAGGCAGGATGCCACTGGGAGACACGGAAGGAACCCAGGAGAGCACAGCGTGCTCCAAGTTCTTTCCTGTCAGGCAGTGGGACCCCCAGGGAGACCTCCATCACTTTCTAAACCCAAACAGGCCATCCATAATTAGATATCACCAACAAAAACTAGAACTGTCAGCTGCTGCCAGATTCTCTTTCTTTTTAAAAATCTTTTATTACAGGGGTGCCTGGGTGTCTCAGTCCGTCGAGCATCCGACTTCGGCTCAGGTCATGAGCTTACAGTTTGTGGGTTCAAGCCCCCACATCAGGCTCTGTGCTGACAGCTTGCTCAGAGCCTGCAGCCTGCTTCAGATTCTGTGTCTCCTTCTCTCTCTGCCCCTCCCCCGCTCCTGCTCTGTCTCTCTCTGTCTCTCAAAAATAAATGTTAAAAAATTTAAAAAAATTCTTTTATTACAGAACATAAGCACATATAAAAGTAGACAAAGTAGTATAATGAAGCCCCCCCTTCCTTTTTTTACCCACCACCCAGCTTCAACAACCACGCTCTATTTCCACCCACTTGCCTCCACTCCATTTTTTTTGAAGCTGATCCCACAGAGTGTATCTTTTTATCTGTATATATTTCAGTATATATCTCTAAAGACTCTTTAGAAAAAATAACCACAATTCCCTTATCACACCTAAAAAATGATTGCTTAATATGGAGAACATCAAAATTTCCAATTGTCTCATAAATATAATTGAAATAATTTAGTTGAATGAAGAGTCTAATAATGTCCATACACTCTTTTGTGTTTTTTTGATATATGAAATTTATTGTCAAAAGGTTTCCATACAACGCCCAGTGCTCATCCCAGCAGGTGCCCTCCTCAATGCCCATCACCCACCCTCCCCAACCTGCCACCCCCCCATCAGCTCTCAGTTTGTTCTGTTTTTAAGAGTCTCTTATGCTTTGGCTCTCTCCCACTCTAATCTCTCTCTCTTTTTTTTTTCCTTCCCCTCCCCCATGGGTTCCTGTTAAGTGTCCATACACTCTTAATATTTGTTTCCTTTTGTCTATGGTATGCTGAATTAAAAAAAAAATACTAAGTAGCGAGGTACAGCAAAATATATACATTTATCATGTTAAGATTTTTGTATACACTGGCTCCGAGCTTGCATCGCCAAAATAAACAGAGCATGTTTGTTTTTCTTTAAAGTCAAACAAGTAGTAGAAGGCGCCTGGGTTAGAAGTCTGAAAATTAATCTCCACTTAGAGACTCCACATTGATCGATCTGTGGCTGGTCTAGAAAATGGGCCCTTGTGTAGGGATATTTTCTCAGAGGATTACAAAGGTGGGAGAGGGGAGGGGACACTTAATCCTGTGTTTTCTAGCACAGTGCATTTAAAAGAGTAGATAGAGTTCTTGGCAAAAGCATGGTAAGCGCTTGAGGCTTAGTATTTTCCATGCAAGTCTTACTCTTTTTCTAAACGGTTGTAAAGATCAGCGGGGTCCAGCTCAAACGTTGTGCTTTGCTGTTGGTAATGGCAGAGATGGGACTAGAAACTCCATTTTCTTGCCCTTTGACAGTTGTTCGAGAAAGAGAGGCCTGGCTGTGTTGAAGACTCTCTTGCCCATCCTGGACTGGCTCCCCAAGTACCGAATCAAGGAATGGCTGCTTAGTGACATCATCTCGGGAGTTAGTACTGGCCTGGTGGGCACCCTGCAAGGTAAGTGTTGGTGAATTGGCTCCCACGTGATCGAGAGTTACAGTCTCCAGCAGCAGTTCGTAACTCCCTCCTGACTCCCAGGGGTCTGTACCCAATGTTTGCTTACCCTTCGAGATCTTTGTCTTTCCTCTAGAGCCCCTTAGTGGATAGATTCGCCTCTTTTCTCCTCTTCCTTAGAGTTCTCTTCCTGGGAAACCCTACTGCTTCTCTAGCCGCATGGCTTCAACTAGAGTCCTAGCATCTAAGCAGTAACTTCCCAATCTCTATTGACCACAACTCACAGTAAGAAATATACATTACATCGTGATCTGCACACACACATATCTCAAGTTTCGTGAAATAGTTATTCACTCCCACCACAAGTGATGTGCTCTGATAGTTTTTATTCTGTCCTGTTCTATTCTGCTTATATTTTTAAAATGATGATTGCAGTCCATTAAATTATTTTGCATCCCACATATGGGCCTTGACCTGCAATTTGAAAGTGGCTTAAGGGGGGGCACCTGGGTGGCTCAGTCTGTTAAGCGTCCGGCTTCAGCTCAGCATCTCACCGTTTGTGGGTTTGACCCCTGCGTCAGGCTCTGTGCTAACAGCTCAGAGCCTGGAGTCTGCATCGGATTCTGTGTCTCCCTCTCTCTCTGGCCCTCCCCCCACTTGTGCTCTGTCTCTCTTTCTCTCAAAAATAAGTAAAACATTAAAAAAATTTTTTTAATGGCTTAAGGGAAAGTGAACGAAGTGTTTTAGCCTGGAGTGTTATATATAAACATTCTTTCTGTCCTCCTTCCTTTTTTTAATCCATCACCTTATTTTAATCTCTGGCAAAATGTCTCAACAGAGGTGTTTTGTTTTGTTTTTAAACTGGCTTCATGCTATATTTCCATGAACATCTTGGAAATCTGTTGCATAGCTGGTGAATAGCAGTATGGGCATTCTTCTCGGCCCCCATCCCCGTTGCCTTGCTTCTGCCGTCCCCCCAACTCTACAAAGTCCTGGACCATGGAAACAGAAGTATCATTTATTTATTGTAATTTTATGGGGCACCTCATATGCTCCAAGTCCTAGGTATGCTGACATGAATGAGGTGTACCACCTGCTTTCAAGGAGCTCATGGTCCAATAGGAAAGTGGATAATAACCATTCAACAAGAGCTGTGACAAGGGCAACAAGGCCTAAGAAGTGACCATGCACAGAGGCTCACAACCCAGCCTTAGGGGATTGGGAATGGCTTCCTAGAGGTTGAGCTGTCAGAGTAGAACTTCTGGGAAGGTTAAGTCTGAGATTGCCAAATAATGGGAAGTAGAATGGGATAGGGATGTGTGTAGAAAGATGGCTTGAAAATGGACTATTTCAGAAGTTAGTAATAGTCGTTGAGCAATGTCATGAACCAACCTTTGCCCATAAGGCTCTCAAGATTACTCAGAGCAGGACAGGTAGATTTCCACAGAGGAGGATGTTCTGTGCCCCTCGTGTGGAGCCCCGTCCTGACCACCCATGTTTTCAGTCACAAAGGAGGATGGGAGAGGAGGTAGGGCTGGGCGGTACATAGTTCGGTGATGCCACGTGAGCATGCGCACTGTGGACTCTTAACAGCTGTGACGGAGCAATTCTGTGTGACTCCTGGGGGACAGGGACCATCAGGTTAATGTTTGTGTAGCTGGTGCCTGGCACGGAGGCTGGCACAAAATAGATGGCAACATTTGGTAAAGGAGGACTGAATTGCATTTCTGATAATGAATCATCTTTATATACAAAAAATGAGATTTCAACTTCCATACCTCCCAAATTTTCATAGATAAGTATCTTGTGAGAATTAACCCTACTTTTAATTCTGTCTATCAAGTATCAGACACTAGGCTGGCTTTGGCCAATTATCTTATTTAATCCTCACAAAAACTATTATTAACTCCTTTTCCATAGGTGAGAAATCCATTAAATCTTTTTTATTTTTATAAAATTATCATTGTAAGGCGAAATTTTGGGGAGGCTAACCTGGTTCATTCATGCATTCATTCATCCTTCACTTAATGACATTTAAAAACCAATTCTGGATGCCAGGTGTTCAGCCATGAGGATTAAATGGTTTATTGACAGGCACAGATACTGACTTCATGGAGTTCTTTTTGAATGTAGACAGAGGGATTAATTAAATAAATAAAAAGATAAAAAGAAAAGTAATTACAGATTGTGATAGATTTAATCCATTGTGTTGGACTAAATACTCTATAATATGGATTACTTTGAAGAGGGAGTGTTTATTTCTTTATTTTGAGAGAGAGAACAAGTGGAGAAGAGGGACAGAGGGAGAGAGAGAATCTTAAGCATGCTCCCCACTCAGACGCGGGGTCCGATCCCATGACCCTGAGATTCTGACCTGAGCTGAAATCAAGAGTTGGACACTCTACCAACTCAGCCATCCAGGCGCCGCTGGAGTGTTTATTTTAGATAGAATGGTCAAGGAAGTCCTTACTGATTAGGTGAAATTCAGTCAGAGACCCAGAGGATGAAGAGACTGTCATGACAAGAGCAGAAGGGAGAGTTTACCAAACAAAGGCCCAAGGCCAAAAGGAGTTCAGTATTTTCAAGAATTCTAGTGTGGGTGGGTGCCGTGAGGGGTGGCGGCTGGTGAACTGAATGAGATAAGGTTGGGCAGGGCTGGGATTAGGATGAGACAGTGAGGCACTGACTCTCAGAAGGTTTCCTTAAGTATTGTGCCTCAGGCACCTGGCTTGCCTCACCCCTCCCAGCCTGGAGGACAGGTGTGTCAGCTGGAACCAGATCGGCAGGAGATGGAGAGATCCACACAGATTTGAAATATTTTTTGGAGCAGCAGTCGCTGATGTCTACTGATGGATTTAGTGTGATGAAAATCACAGGTGGCTCCAAGGTTGTTGGCTTGAGCAACTGGGTAGATGGTTATGTCACTTATTACAATGGCAAAGGCTGGCTGAGAAGCAGTTTGGGATGGAAAGTGAAGAGTGTCCTTTTGGACATGCTAAGTTTGAGATGTAGGTGAGATCTCTAAGTGGAAATGCTAAATATTGAGTTGGAGCTACTTCAAGTGTGAAGAGCAGAGGAGATGTCTGAGCTAGACAGAAAAATCAGGAAAGCATCGCTGTAGAGGTGATCTTTAAAATAGAGGCGGGGCACCTGGGTGGTTCAGTGGGTTTAACCTCCATCCCTTAATTTCTTGATTTCAGCTTGGGTCATGGTCTCACGGTTTGTGGGGTTCAGGCTCTGTGCTGACTGCTGCGGGGTTGGGGAGCCTGCTTGGGATTCTCTCTCTGTCTCTCTCTCTCTCTCTCTCTCTCTCTCAAAATAAATAGATAAATCAACTTTAAAAAAATATAAAAGAGTGGGAATGCCTGAGACAACCCAGGGAGAAGGGACAGATGGAAGAGAAGATGGCTGGACCATCCAGAGGTCAGAAAGATAAGGGGGGTGGGGCCACAAGGAAACATAAGGAGGCTCAGGAGGTTGGAGAGAAAGAATTGGAGAGATGTGGGTTCAGAAGCCAAGAGGGGAGGTTGTTTTTAAAAGGACAGAGGGGCAGGGGCACCTGGGTGGCTCAGTCAGTTGAGCGTCCGACTTCGGCTCAGGTCATGATCTCATGATTCGTGGGTTCGAGCCCCACATCGGGCTCTGTGCTGACAGCCCGGAGCCTGGAGCCTGCTTCAGATTCTGTGTCTCCCTCTCTCTCTGCCCTTCCCCCACTTGTGCTCTGTCTTTCTCTGTCTCTCAAAAATGAATAAACGTTAAAAAAAAAAAAAGGACAGAGGGGCAATAGTGTCAAATACTCTTCAGGGGAGAGCTTAAAGGTGGGACACAGGCAATGCTTTTGAGAAGGTTTGCTGTGACCCAGAGTAGAAAAATAGCTGTAACTCTAGAGAGGTAAAGAGATGGAGGTAGAATGAGGGAAGATTTCATTTTCTTTTCCTGGAAGAGATACTAGAACATATTTGGGAACTAGTGGGAATATCCTTGTAGAGAAAGGCATTGATGGCCCAACAGGTGGAGGAGAAACTAAAAGTGGTGAGAAGGGGTGAATGTGAATGGGGCTCAAGGACAGAAGTAGGAGGGTTGCTCCTTAAAGACAAGGGGGAGATCTCCTCCATTTTTAAAGGAAGAAAGAAAAAAATGGTGCAAGTGTAGAGGGGTTTGAAATTATGGTGAAAAGCAAATTCAGAGCATCTCTTTATGGATTCTGTGTTTTGGGTGGAGTCTGAGATTCATGTCTGAACCATGTCTGTGTGCAGAAGGGGGAGGGCAGCAGTTTGAGGAAACTTTGGGAGGTTTGAGTCTTGCTCAGAACAAGGATGTGGAGTTGGGCCGCCAGGCAGTCCGGAGTCCCCACGTGGGGCTCCTGGTCACATATCTCCCTTGAGATGGGTCAGCCCAAATGCAAATTATCTGGTCTCTGGTCCAGCTTCTCTAGCCACTCAAATGCTCAAATGTCACCCAAAAGGTGGATGTTTGGATTCAACCAGACTGGGGTTTTACGAGACAAGAAAAGGGAAGGTGAGAGAGAGAAGCAAGGGAGTTCGGAGTGTTTGCAAAATTACATGGACAGGAGGCAAGAGAAGACAGGAGGGCACCAAAGAGAGGGAGAGAGTGGATTTTGAAGCCTCATGAGGACACAGATGAGGACACAGAAATGTTGCAACAACGATTCTGGAGTAGGTGAGCTGAAAGCCTAGGATGTGTTTTGGGAGAGAGAACTCAAAACAGATTTCAGAGGGGGTGCCATCGTGTCTAGTGGTGGCTCGGTCCGTGACACATCACTGGCTGGATGGCCGAGGAGTGGGAGAGTAACTTATCAGAGAGGTCAGGCTCAACTTACTGAGAAACCGATTGTTGAGAAGGATAATGGGATCTTTTTGACTTTTGTTATAAAAAAAATTCTCACCAGCCAGCAAAAGATCAATGCAGGCATTTTAGGGCTATCTTCATTCCCAACTATGGGGAGACTGCTCTCCAGTTTCTACTTTGCCTTCTAGATGCTTGCAAACATTTGTTAGTACCACCATTGTCGACATAGGCCACCATCCTGCACATGAGGGCCCCCAGCACAGAGATTCCACAGCTTAAACCGATGGCTTCGATTTCTTTACAAATGGTGTGATTTCAAAATTGTTGCACCAAATTCCTTTGTAATAAAGCTGATTACAATATATTTGGGTAGCGGTTGTCCCTAAGTAGGACACTGTATGAAAACAGAAAAAGTCCCTATTTTGTCAGGCCTGTAAACACTGCAGAGCCCAGTGTAGGGAAGTGAAGCTTGAGAAAGACTTGGAAAAAGTCATAGAAAGTAGGTTGTTTTTATCTCCTGCTCCTTCTTCCCTTTGTGGAGCCACCATTCTACTGCATTTTCTTGGGATGAGTGATTATTGCCATTTCTTGCTGTAATTCATGTATTAAAATGATTGCATACAGATTATTCTAGAATACAAATTCTGTAAGGGCAGATACTTTCTTTTGTCCACTCCCAGATCTAGAATAGTGCTGGCACATGGTAGGTACATAATCAATTGTTGTTGAATGAATGCGTGAATGTTTATTGTAGGAAACTAGAAAATACATACAAAGAACATGAAAAAAATACCTCTTCCACAAACTATAAGTCTCCTTTGATCCTACCATGTAGAAAACCCATTAATATTTTAGTAAATGCCCTACTAGACACACAAATGCATATCTATGTAAAAGAATAAAGAAATGCCAGAATGATAAGCACTACATTTTGGATAGTGGTTGCCTTCAAGGGATAGAGGGAGGAAGAAGGATGTGATGGAGGAAAAGTATATAGAGTTGTAACTTTACTGGCGATTTCTCCCTTCCTTCCTTCCTTCCTTCCTTCCTTCCTTCCTTCCTTCCTTCCTTCCTTCCTTCCTTCTTTTCTTTCTTTCTTTCTTTCTTTCTTTCTTTCTTTCTTTCTTTCTTTCTTTCTTTCTTTCTTTCTTTCTTTCCCTCAAGATTTTAAGTAATCTCTGCACCCAATGTGGGGCTCAAACCCGCAACCCTGAGATCAAGAGTCATTCCCTGTACCAGCTGAGCCAGCCAGGTGCCCCACTGGCAATTTATTTCTTAAGCCAGATGGTGAATACATGGGTATTTATTATATTATATAGTCTTTGAATATCGAAATGACTTAGTATATTATTTAAAATCTTTTGAGAATTTTTTTGTGCATGCAACATGCATGTTTACTTTTATAAAAGGGGGAGCAGGCATGCTTACCACGATTTTGAATCCTGCTTTTTCTTCGCTTTTTCTTTGTTCTTTACGTATCTCCATGTTAGGAAATGTATTTCTACATATCACATCAATTTCATGTGATAGAATTACAGTATGCAAAGTATAATTTAGTTAACTTTTCCATTTTGAGACATTCATTCAGTAGCTAACATGGGGCAGTTGTGAGCCAGGATATTTAGGTTGTTTTCGCCTTTTGTTTTTTTAACTGCTCTAAATGTAATCCTTTGTTAAGGGCCCAGTGATCAAAGGGCTTGATTTTCTCTCACTGTAAGTGAGTGAAATGTGAGAAAGTAATTTAAGTAAGATGTGCTGACTACCTAAGAAGTGCTTAACCAGGGAAAAGAACTCATCATCATGGTCTTCCAATTCCCATGTACACAGAGAAGTTGAGATTTCTCCATACCGCAATACATGGGCCCAGAGGCTTCCTGGGACAGACAGCTTAGCGGAGGAAACCTCGCAGAGTTTTCTTGCCTGCTGCTGTGTATAATTGCCATATTTTTCTTTGTTTGGACCTAACTTCTGTTAACAAGAAAGGTGGAAAGGGCAGTGCAACAATGCTTATGTCCCTCTGAACACAGAGAAACACTGCATTCACACAAAATATCTATGTGCAAAACTGGTCTGAGCCTTTGGACCGAATTGATGAAATTACAAATTTTTTTTTTATTTTAGTTAAATCCAAGTTAGTTAACATATAGTGTAATAATGTCTCAGGAGTAGAATTCACTGATTCATCACTTACATACAATACCCAGGGCTCATCCCAACAAATGCCCTTATTAAGGCCCATCACCCATTTAGCCCTTCCCCCCGCCCAACAACCCTCCGGCAACCCTCTGTTTGTTCTCTAAATTAAAGAGTCTCTTATGGCTTGTTTCCCTCTCTGTTTTTATCTTATTTTTCCTTCCCTTCCCCAATGTTCATCTGTTTTGTGTCTTAAATTACACATATGAGTAAAATCATATGATATTTGTCTTTCTCTGACTGACTTATTTCGCTTAGCCTAATACATTCTAGTTCCCTCCATGCTGTTGCAAATGGTAAGATTTCATTCTTTTTGATTGCCAAGTAATACTCTCTCTCTCTCTCTCTCTCTCTCTCTCTCTCTCTCCCTCTCTCTCTCTCTATATATACACACACCACATCTTCTTTATCCATTCATCAGTCAAGGGACCTTTGGGCTCTTTCTATAAGTTGGCTCTTGCTGATAGTGCTGATATAAACATTGGGGTGCACGTGCCCCTTTGAATCAGCACTTTTGTGTCGTTTGGATAAACACCTAGTAGTGCAATTGCCGGACCGTTGGGTAGTTCTATTTTTCATATTTTGAGGAACCTCCATGCTGTTTTCCAGAGGGCCTGCACCGGTTTGCATTCCCACCAGCTGCGCAAAAGGGGACCAACAGCGCTAAAGGGTTCCCCTTTCTCCACATCCTCACCAACATCTGTTGTTTCCCGATTTGTTCATTGTAGCCACCCTGACTGGCGTGAGGTGGTATCTCAGTGTGGTTTTGATTTGTATTTCCCCGACTGAATTGATCACCATGTTAACCAACTGCTTTGACTTCTTTTTTCCACTCGTCTGATCACTGGGTAATTTGGATTACCTGTCAATTCAATGCATTTACACAGGCGTTGTGTGGACACCATCATTATTTCAGCTGATTTAGACCGTGTTCTGCATCCTTGCATAGCCTCAGACTGTAGGCAACATAAGGAGACCACTCTGGGCAAGCTGCAAAGTGGGGCTGTCTTTGAAAAGGTCTTTCTTTGCACAGTAGAAATAATACCATAACTTTTGTTGGTGAATTTAATCATTTTGGATGTACTTTCAGGCATGGCGTATGCTCTTCTGGCTGCCGTTCCTGTCGGATATGGTCTCTACTCTGCTTTTTTCCCTATCCTAACATATTTTATCTTTGGAACATCAAGACACATCTCAGTTGGTAATTATAAGCATATACTACAATTATATTTATTCACGTTTAACGTGTTTCGGCTCTAGTATGTGTATTATGCTTCCATATCTTTGTTAATAATGTTTTCCGGGAAAATAGGCCTTCAGTGCTTTGCCTGCTTTTCCTATTCAATGACGCAGTGGTTCTTAGCTTTCAAAGTACCATCTCTTCAGTATTAAGTTTATACTTAACTTTTTTTTTTTTTTAATTTTTTTTTTCAACGTTTATTTATTTTTGGGACAGAGAGAGACAGAGCATGAACGGGGGAGGGGCAGAGAAAGAGTGAGACACAGAATCGGAAACAGGCTCCAGGCTCCGAGCCATCAGCCCAGAGCCTGACGCGGGGCTCGAACTCACGGACCGCGAGATCGTGACCTGGCTGAAGTCGGATGCTTAACCGACTGCGCCACCCTGGCGCCCCACTTTTTTTTTTTTTTTTTTTATAAAGAGGAGAAAATTGAGAGATTGGTCAAAATGGCAGCCTACCTTCAAATTCTAGCATATTTTCATTTTCTTAATGTAATAAATTTGACTCCATATTTAGAAAGTGTTCTCTTCCAAAATAGAAAATGACAAGGTAAAAATATCTTCAAGAGGTCTTCAAACCTCCTGTTTTACTAGACTAACTTATCATTTACTAAATAATGTTCATCAAATCCATAGTCATCATTTCATTAAAAACTATACTCATTTTAAGTCACTAATACTGGAAGACCAGCAAAGTTGTGCCAAAACTATTTAGAAACTAAGCTTGGCTTTCCTTCTTGGTATGGCTCAAAATAGGCTTATTTTCTGCTGTTCCTAAAATTTGAATTCTCTTTTGCTAGAATGTTCTAGTAAATGAATGTCTTAATGCTATTTTGTGACTTTGACATTTATACTTGAGATAATTTTGCGCCTACATCCATCTGCTGGCTAGACGTGTCTACCTGGACAGTCCTCTTGAAACACATACAACCATCTACTGTATCTCCAACCCATATCCTTGTCCTTAGTTGTATTGTCCCCAGTGTCTAGCATATTGCCTTGTCTACGGAAGGAGATCAGGAAGAGGTTATTGATTGAGAACCCTTCCTCACCTGGGAGAATCTAGCAGTATCAAATGCTTGACAGTGTGAGGAACATAGAAGCTGTTTTTTTTCTCTTTGGTATTCTATCCATTTAGACACTCCAGGTTACTGGATTTTGATACTGAGCCCTCCCAACTGTTAAAGCCTCCCATGATGAAAGGATAGGATCATCATCATGGATAAAAACATCAGAAGTGAATGGGAGAAAAGGAATACTTTTAAAACATAGAATCTTCTAGACTGGCATTTGATATGAAAAAATAATTTGTTTTGAAAAGAGAAAAAGAGAAACAGTGTACTCTCTTTGCTGTTTCTTTACCCTAATTGGGACCCTGTGATATGGATCAAGGTACTCAGCTCCGCAGGGATCAGGACACCAGATGCTCTAGGGAATGAGCTTATATGGAATAAGTAAGATGAAACAAATAAGGATCCAGCTTGTTGGCCACCTCTGCCAGGAAACTCCCCCACCCCTACCCCAGTTCACACAAAGACCGCACAAAGACTGGTTAGACAACCCCCCTGAGTATTCACAAAGCATCCGAAATGCTATTTTACAATTGCCTATCTACATGTCTCTCTTGCTCATTTCTGGGTCACGAATGCCTTGAAGCATGTGTTTTGGGGGCTTCTTTTGTGAAGAAGCAATATTTTCCCAACCACAGCTAATAATTTCACACATCTTTCTAATCCTATGTAGACATGTTGTTGAACCTAAACATGTATGATGAATAATTACTAACTGATAGAGCCTTTCTTCCCCAGGGCCTTTCCCTGTGGTCAGTTTAATGGTGGGATCTGTTGTTCTGAGCATGGCCCCCGACGAACACTTTCGCATATCCAGCAGTAATGGCACTGCACTCAATGCCACCGTGATAGACTCTGAGGCTAGAGACGCAACAAGAGTATTGATTGCAAGCACCCTTACTCTTCTGGTTGGCATCATACAGGTAATGGGATGACAAGTAAAATGTAAATTGGCATGATTTTTATTTGAAATAACTGAGTGTAAAGCATGTGGACTTAAAGATTCATTTAAAAGCACAACAGAGCGATTTATTGGACCCCCCCCCAAAGTTATTTTTTAACTTCTACTGTTTTAGGTCAGATGCTGAAATAGTCAGCAAGACCCCCTGATTAGGGCTCAGGTATTATCAAAGTTAGAGACAGAAAAAAAAATCAGAACATGTGTGATTTTTTTTTTAATTAAAATTTTTTTTTAATATTTATTTTTGAGAGAGAGAGAGAGAGGCAAAGAGAGGGGGACAGAAATCCAAAGCGGGTTCTGAGCTGTCAGCACAGAGCCCGACACGGTGCTCAAGCTCATGAACCATGAGATCATGACCTGAGCCCAAGTCAGAAGCTCAACTGCCTGAACCACCCAGGTGCCCCATGTGTGATTATAATGAGAATGAGGGAAGGGAAGAATACAGAATGCACAAAGGAGCAAAAAGTGTCCCAGTGAGCAGAGCCATGGGATCTGAAAGTCAGAGGAATAAGTCCCATGATTTTTGCTTTTACACATTACATATCCAGAAACACTTCAAGGTTCATGTTACCACAGTTTTCAAATTTTAGGGTGGAGGAGGGGCATTGGGAAATCCAGATTTGCTTCCTACAAGTATTTGTGTGTTATCAGCAGGTTACCAGAGTTTTAACTGGTGTTAAGTTTATTTTTATTTTTTTTTTTAATGTTTATTTATTTGTGTGAGAGAAACAGAGCATGAGTGGGGAGGGGCAGAGAGAGACACACAGAATTGGAAGCAGGCTCTGGGATGTCAGCTCAGAGCCTAACGTGGGGCTCGAACTCACGACCGTGAGATCATGACCTAAGTGGACGTCGGATGCTCAACCAACTGAGCCACCCAGACACCCCAAATGGTGTTGGGTTTAATTTGTTAATAGTTCAAGAGAATTGGTCCTTCTTCCAGGCAAACTTTAACTTCTTTCCTTTTCATACTAGTTGATATTTGGAGCTTTGCAGATCGGATTCATAGTGAGGTACTTGGCAGATCCTTTGGTTGGCGGATTCACAACAGCTGCTGCCTTCCAAGTGCTCGTCTCACAGCTGAAGATCGTTCTCAACGTTTCGACCAAAAACTATAATGGCGTTCTCTCCATTATCTATGTAAGTGTGGCGTTTTACTCCGGAGATGGCTCACGGAGAAAAATCTGTTCTTTTCCTCTGTACCCTGAGTCTGGAGAGCATATGTTCCTCCATGCCATACTTTGGGAAGCCATTGAAAACATTCTTCTCTGAAAGAAAGCAATAGAATCAGGAGTAACATTGAAGACGGCAGATTTTACAAAGCATCGTTCTCAACTGGTCAAAATGGTTCCACAAGTGTCACTGCACTTGAAAATATGAAGGAAAACAAAGTGGTATAGTGAAGTGAAGTCTGGTGTGGGATGCCACAGACTTGAGTTCCAGTTTCCAAGTGGCCTCTGATAAGTTGAGTGGCCGTAGACACATCATGGGGGATAGTGGCTGAAAGCTCAGGTTTAGAGCTGGATCCTGGATTAATATCCTGACTCTTGTATATATTAGTTATATGAGCAAATCACCATACCTCAGTTTCCTTCTCTGCCAAATAGAATTAGTAACAATATCTGTATTCATAATTAAGTTAAATAAGGGTGTAAGAGAAGCACTTTGCCCAGAGGCTGAAGCATTAACAAGTACTCAAAAAAAGTAGTTAGGTTGAAATTATTATTTCACATTTCAAGGCTTCTTTTTTTATTTGTAAAACGAAATGACTGGAGCTGTAGCTCTAAAGCCCTTTTTAACTGTGAGAGTCCATAAAATGCATAATGTAAATGTCTCAGCAATTATAGATGAAAAGGAACATCAGAATCGGAGGTGATCAACATGCAAAAGAGATGCAAAAGAAGGATGTAGATCACACTAATTAGATTTGAAAAAGTTCTTGGATCTAAATCTGTGTTCTATATAAAGCATGCTATTGATGCTTGAAAAATGATAATGATAGTAACATGATGTCATTCTAGCTTGGGGAGGATGATACTATGCCAAATAAATGTGCTAGCCTTGAGAATGGGGTTTCAGTCCTTTACTGACCCACGTATTAGCTTCTAAAACAATGTAAGGCCATGTGTTCATATGCAAAAAATTAGTGATGTGGTCAGGAATTTGCTCAATTTCACAACAGTGTCATAATCCCACGTTCTCTATACATTCAACCAATACTGCCAAGTGCCTATTATAAGCTGGGTACTGTGCTAAGCAGTGGGAGTAGGTAGAGGAGATAGTATAACCCAGTGATTAATCAGGGACTATTGGGGGTGCCTGGGTGGCTCAGTCGGTTGGGCGGCTGACTTCGGCTCAGGTCATGATCTCACAGCTCTTGAGCTCAAGCCCCGTGTCGGGCTCTGTGCTGACAGCTCAGAGCCCAGAGCCTGCTTCAGATTCTGTGTCTCCCTCTCTCTCTACCCCTCCCAAGCTCACTCTCTTTCTCTCTCTTTCAAAAATAAATAAACATTAAACAAATTTTAAAAAAAGTCAGGGACTTTGAACTTCAGTAGACTTGAGCTGGAATCTTGGTTCCACTGCCTACTTACTACCCACGTGATTTGGGGCATGTTAAATTTAACATCCTATACACCTCAGTGTCCTCAGTTGTAAAATGGGAATAATAATAGTAGCTGCCTCTTAACATTGTGAGGAATAAAGGAAAATCTGTGTAAAGCACTTACCACAATACCTGGCTCTTAGGAAGAGTTCAGTAAATTATTATTATTATTATTGTTATTATTACCATTATTGTTGTTGCTATTACTGTTATCATTATTTTTATGGTGATTAGACCTCCTGGAGCTTAGTGTTCGCTTCTCAAGGACCCAGACTGTTAACACAGGCTGTTTTTTGTCACACAGGATTATTTTTGTCATTGTTGCTTTTTTTGCAACCACGTCCTTGGTTCATTTGAAAGCTTCTGAGTCCCTTTCTCTGACAGGCTCCTTTGCATTTGCAGTCCCTGGCACATCTTGCTTTTCCTTGCGTTCCCACGTTTCCTGCCTGCTGTTCATTCATTTATTCCTTCATTGTCATTCATACAGTTCATCTATTCAATAAATATTTATTGACCACCTCCTATGTGCTAGGAACTAGTTTCTCCCTGTATGAATCCACTGACCCCTGAATCCACCAAGAGACCCCTTACTGAGTGTACTCACCTCTTCGTGAACATTGCTTGGGCTGCCTCCACACAGATCACAGGAGGCTCAGGCCTACGGTTAACCTGGTTCCCTGGCCACTGGGGGACCTCGCCAACAGGAGAATGAAATAGTTCTTCCTGTCTTCTAGGACTCTGTTTTACGTTTTATTTTTTAAGTTTTTATTTTAATTCCAGTGTAGTTAACACACAGTGTTATATTAGTTTCAGGTGTACAATGTAGTGATTCAATAATTCTATACATCGCCCCGTGCTCATCATGACAAGTACACTCCTTAATCCCCAGCTCCTATTTTACCCATTCCCCCACCCGCATCCCCTCTTGTAACCGTAAGTTTGTTCTGTACAGTTAAGAATGTGTTTCTTGGTTTGTCTCTCTCTTTTTTGACCTTTGCTCATCTGTTTTGTTTCTTAAATTCCACATATGAGGGAAATCATGGTATTTGTCTTTAACATATCTTGCTCAGCATTATTCTCTCTAGCTCCATTCATATCATTGCAAATGGCAAGATTTCATTCTTTTTTATGGCCGAGTAACATTCCGTTGTATGTATATATACCATCTCTTCTTTATCCATTCATCAGTCCATGGACACTTGGGCTGCTTCCATAATTTGGCTATTGTAAATAATGCCACTATAAACACAGGGGTGCATGTATCCCTTTGAATTAGTGTTTTTGTGGGGGTTTTTGGGTAAATACCCAGTAGTGTGATTACTGTATCATAGGGTAATACTATTTTTAACTTTCAGGGGAAACTCCATATTGTTTTCCACAGTGGCTGCACCAGTTTGCATTACAACCAACATTGCATGAGAGTTCCTTTCTCTCCACATCTTTGCCAACATTTGTTGTTTCTTTGATCTTAGTCATTCTAACAGGTGTGACGTGATATCTCACTGTGGTTTTGATTTGCATTTCCCTGATGATGAGTGATATTGAGCATCTTATCATGTATCTTCTTTGGAGAAATATCTGTCTGTTCATGTCTTCTGCCCATTTTTAAATTAAATTTTTAAATTCTTCCCATATTTTAAATTTATATATTTTGGGTACTAATGCTTTATTGGATATGTCATTTGCAAATATCTTCTCATTTAGTAGGTTGTCTTTCATTTCTGTTGATTGTTTCATTTGCTGTGCAGAAACTTTTTTTTTTTTTTTTGTAGTCCCAATACTTTATTTTTGCTTTTATTTCCCTCACCTCAGGAGACATTTAGAAAAATGTGGCTATGGCTGATGTCAGAAATTACTGCCTGGGTTCTCTTCTAGTACTTTTATGGTTTCAAGTCTCCCATTTAGGTCTTTCATCCATTTTGAATTTATTTTTGTATATGGTATAAGAAAGAGGCCCAGTTTCATTTTTTGCACGTTGCTGTCCAGTTTTCCAAACACCATTTGTTGAAGAGACTGTTTTTCTCATTGTAGATTCCTTTCTACTTAGACAAAGATTAATTGATCGTTTAATTGTGGGTTTATTTCTGGGTTTTCTATTCTGTTCCACTGCTCTATGTGTCTGTTTTTATTCCAGTACCATGCTGGTACTTGAACCCACGACCCTGAGATCAAGACCTGAGCTGAGATCAAAAGTCAGACGCTTCACTGAGCCACCCAGGTGCCCCAGTACCATGTTGTTTTGATTACTATAGTTTTGTAGTATAAAGCCCCGGTATTGTGATACCTATAGTTTTTTCTTCCTTTTTCAAGATTGCCTTGGCTATTCAGCGTCTTTTGTGGTTCCATACAAATTTTAGGATTGTTTTGTTCCAGTTCTGTGAAAAATACTGTTGGTATTTTGTTAGGGATTGCATTAAATGTATATATATGGCTTTGGGTAGTACAGACATTTTAACAGTATTCGTTCTTCCAACCCACAAACATGGTATGTCTTTCCATTTCTTTGTGTCTTTCCTAGGACTACGTTTAAGATGAAGCTTGTTGCAAATGACCCCACTTTGAGACATGGACAAAAGTACCAAGACATACTAGAATAAGGTCAAAAAAACATGATTATTATGTGACTTATGTTCTGTTGAACATTATTCTTGAAGTCTCAGGTTAGAGTATATCATAGAATTTTGAGAGAATTCCTCCAGGCCACTCAGGTTGGATGAATATATCTCAATCTTCCCTGTGTGATCATGTCTCTAAGCTTGCTCTTCTGAAAACAAAGGATCAGCAGATTTGGAAAGGGTTGCATAAGAGTTGAATGAACCACTCAGTACCTGAACAGACAATTTCACTTATGACATTACTGGCAGCAATCATTTGTGAAAGAACCCTTCAACAAATGCAGAGTAGTCATGGATTCCGTCCAGGAAAATTTGGAAGATTGTTGTAAGATAATTTCCTTGGCATGTAGTAACTTAACATCCCTTTTGTTATAAGGTTGTACTTTGGATTGTTTCCCTTCCCCAACTCCTCCCAAGAAATAAGGTGATTAATTCAAAGAATTGGAGGAGGAAATATTGGGACAGTATGAAAAACTAAAACTTTAATTAGCAAATGCCAGAGACACTGAATATAGGATGCAGAAGGGGGAATGAAAGGATGCTAGTGGAATTCAGAATTAATAATACTTCTCATCCCACTATGTAGCTACTCAATTGTGTAAGCAAATCACATAGCACACTTAAGAGTGAGTATATTGGGGCTCCTGGGTGGCTCAGTCAGTTGAGCAGCTGAATCTTGATTTCAGCTTAGGTCAGGATCTCACAGTTCATGGGATGGAGCCCTGCCTCAGGCTCTGCACTAACAGCATGGAGCCTGCACAGAGCCTGCTTAGGATTCTCTTTCTCCCTCTCTTTCTGCCCCTTCCCTGCTTGCATACATTCTCTCTCTCTCTCTTTCTCTCTCAAAATAAATAAACTTTGAACAACTCTATATAAAAAAAAAAGAGTATGTTTTCCTACCATTCACTTTGAATGGCTTGTCTCAATAGACAAAGGAAGAGTTTCTGCTTGCTTACTGAAGTGATGCCTACCTCCTCCTTTATTCCTCTAATGAGGAGAAAGACCACACTGAAAAGTTCTGCCCAGATGATGAGGGTGTTGAAAGCCACCATTAAGCTTGAGCAGATTCACTATTCTGTATCTGTTCCGTTTTATAAAAATCAAGCCATTATAATAAGGAAAGAACACTTGAAGCTCTAAGGGTTGATCTACATATGAGCAAAAGTTGTTTCTGGTAGGAGGAAATACCTGACTACAAGGGGGTGATTATGACGGGTTTGTTATATTTATAAAGATGAATTAAAAACAAATTTGGCACCAAAAGTTAACTGACAAACTTCTTCATATGTAATATCAGGTATATATTTTTTTCTTCTGGCTTCATACCCCAAGGTAATGCTAGGCAAAGAAGGAAGAAATTATCTAAGTGAAATGGTCCTAAAATTCTCTGAGCATGGTAGGAAAATAGTATAATATTTTCCATCACGGAAATGATTATTATTATGATTTGAACTATTCAGAATATTAGGTTGAAAGATGGATTTATATGTGTATCCACCTTTTAAACAAATTTAATAAGTATTTCCATAGTAATCTAAATTAGAATTAGTTTTTAGTACTTTCTTAGAGTCTCGTTTCTATTGTCTTTGAATACAATCTGACTACTTCAGTTTATTTGGGTGAATTTTATTTCCATGTAGACTAAACTTTTTATTGAAGAATTTTTTGGAAGAAATAACTCATATATATGCAACTCATATGTTTATATGCTTGTTTAACGCAATTGTATAGTATAAACTGATTTTGTTTTTTGTGACTCATATTACATTTTTAATACGCTAGAAGTGCTTTTTATTCAAAGATCTAAGTGACTCTCATAGATTAAATGGGAATCCAAGAGTGATAATTTTTGTAAGGTGAAAATGTTTCTATGACTGGGGTAGTTATCTGATTGTTTTTAAGTTTGAATTTTCCCCTCTTGAGTTGAAAGTAAACCTTTATTGTGTAGACAGTTAAGTGAAATATTGTATCTAGCTTGTGAATTAATGAGGCTTGTCATCAGAAAATTGATGATGTGGAATTTGAGAAACTTAACAGGTGATCATAGGGGAAGTGAAGGAAAAATAAGATATAAACAGAGAAAGAGGCAAACCATAGGAGACTCGTAAATACAGAGAACAAACAGAGGGTTGCTGGAGGGGAGATAGGTGGAGGGGATGGGCTGAATGGGTGATGGGCATTCAGGAGGGCACTTGTTGGGATGAGCACTGGGTGTTATACGTCAGTGATGAATCACTGGGTTCTACTCCTGAAGCCAAGACTACACTGTATGTTAGCTAACTTGAGAATAAAAAAAGAAGACGAAAGAAAGAAAGTTGATGATGTGAAGGGCCAGACGCAATACCATCATGACTCTGAGGCATGTAGGACTGTTAGCTCCTAGGACAGACGCCCTAAATTCCTGAGTTATTGTGTCTGCTTGTGGTACTCCTCCATTTTCTCTTTTTCACCGGGCTATCACTGGCTTCATCGTTTGCTATCAGTGTATCTGCCTCTAGCAATTTTCACTGACTCTGGAAGGCAACGTAAATTTGGGTTTAAAGCAAGAGCAAAAATACTCTGAGTGAAAGTCCAAGGGGCTTCCTGCTTGAACTCTAGTTCAAGGACTTGGTGGACGTATTTTGCCGGCATGAAAGCGTCTCCCCTCATTTCCTTACTCTTGAATGTTCTCCAGAGAGTTGGAGTTGCTAGCAAAATGACTGTTAGATCACTTAATGTTTATTATACATAATTGTTACTGGATTGTCATTATAGTTATTTAAAAAATTTTTTTTCAACTTTTTAATTTATTTTTGGGACAGAGAGAGACAGAGCATGAACAGGGGAGGGGCAGAGAGAGAGACACACACACAGAATCGGAAACAGGCTCCAGGCTCTGAGCCATCAGCCCAGAGCCTGACGCGGGGCTCGAACTCACTGACCGCGAGATCTTGACCTGGCTGAAGTCGGACGCTTAACCGACTGCGCCACCCAGGCGCCCCAGTATAATTATTTTAAATACAGCTTACCTATAAAATTAAGTAACAAATACGTTATAAATGATCAGATGCTCCATTCCTTTATTTTCATATAAAATATACCTATAAAAGGACCATTCGAAAAAAGTAACCTGCACTGAGAGATTATTTGTCTCAAAGAATTAAAGAATACCTTCCTAAGTCATGCCTTCTATAAAACTCAAGCTGCCGGAACAAAGGTATTAGTGTTCTTCCCTGGGATTCTCCCTTGCTAATCTTCCTTGATTCCGAGAAACCTCCTATTTACAAAACAAAACTAGCTTTTTCTTGGAGTTAACTAGCTTTTTCTTGAGGTGGCTTATCTGTGCACTTGGAAAGAGTTGTGTTTTTAAAGTCATTTCAGTTCAAGTTTCAACTAAGTACCAAATTAATTTCCAAAAAAAATTATATTTGAACTATATATCAATTCAGTAGCTTTTCTCTGCCATGAAGAATGGATCAATCCCTATGTATCTACATATGAAGTATTCAGGTATTTTTATTACCACCCATATAATTCAGGTTTGGGAAGAGTTTTAGCTAAAATACTGGCAAATTGGGACTTTTGGGTTTATCAGTTTTTAGTCTCAATAATACCACATCAACATTGTGAAATTAGGTCACTTAATAGTCCCTGTAAAACCACTTTAAGATATAAACTTTAAAAACTTTTCTGCAAGTGGGGCACCTGGGTGGCTCAGTCGGTTAAGCGTCTGACTCTGGATTTTGGCTCAGGTCATGATCTCACAGTTTGTAAGTTCGAGCCCTGCATGGAGCCTGTTTGGGATTCTCTCTCTCTCTCTCTCTCTCTCTCTCTCTCTCTCTCTCAAAATAAGTCAATAAACATTAAAACTTTTATGCAAATAAAATTCAACATATAATGATTTTTTTCTTTTAAAACATCTCATTTTATTGTAAAAAATGCAGATAAAAATTAAAAGGTAGACATCACCCATGGTTTTACCACCCCAATTAACCATCACTAATAACTTGGTACATATATATCAAATACTGGCTGTTTTTAATGGTCTCTGTGTTAGCCAACACATTTTTATGATTTTATGTGAAATTCTTAAGTGCTTTCGATGATGATATGATTTTTCACATGGGAAGAATATAAAATTATTTTCTTTTTACAGACTCTGATTGAGATGTTTCAAAATATTGGCCACACCAATCTTGCTGATTTTATTGCTGGATTACTCACCATTATCATCTGTATGGCAGTTAAGGAAGTAAATGATCGATTTAAGCACAAAATTCCAGTCCCTATTCCTATAGAAGTAATTGTGGTAAGTAAAACATGTAATTAGAAAATTCAGCATTAATTGGTTTGACGAGAAAGAAGTTGTAATATATATATGATATTGTGGTATGTATATCTATATATCTACATATCAAGTAATATATGTATATATGACAATGGAATATTACTGAGCCATAAAAAAGAATGAGATCCTGCCATTTGCAACAACATGGATGGAGCTAGAGAGTATAAGCTAAGTGAAATAAGTCAGTCAGAGAAAGACAAATACTATGTGGAATTTAAGAAACAAAACAAATGAACAAACAAAGAAAAATACAAACTAAAAAAAACCCCCTGGAATCTTAAATACAGAGAACAAACTGGTGGTTGCCAGAAGGGGGGGGGGGATGGGTAAAATCGATAAAGGGGAAAATAAGAACACTCTTATCTTGACCAGCACGATGTGAAGTATAGAAAAGTTGAACCATGATATTGTACACCTGAAACTAATATAACACCATATGTTAATTATACTTGGATGAAAGAAAGAAAGAAAGAAAGAAAGAAAGAAAGAAAGAAAGAAAGAAAGAAGAAAGAAAGAAGGAAAGAAGGAAAGAAAGAAAGAAGCCAACAGGGAAGACTTCCCAATGAGGAGACAAAAAATAAAAATAAAAAAGGAGTTGTTAAAACATGGAGGTTTTTTTTAACCTCTTTTGTTTTATTTTCAGACAATAATTGCTACAGCCATTTCATATGGAGCCAACCTGGAAAAAAATTACAATGCTGGCATTGTTAAATCCATCCCACGGGGGTGAGTGCGGACTTCCTCTTAGGCAATACTAATATATTAAGTCAGAATTTTCTATTTAAAGGAAACCTTTTATTATAAGCCTCATTTCATTGGTGCTCCCTCAATAGTCTTCTTTGTGTGTGATCTTAAAGAAACACCCAGTTGTGCAAACTGTCAGTGTGTGTGTCGATAAAGTTTAAGCCATTTGTTTCAAAGCAGCTCCCATACCTTCTGTCCTTTTCTTCATTTTCTTAAAATATGGCAGGACATGTACAGTTACCACCAGACTCCTGATTTAAGCTCATATGTAGAATTGCAATATGATATAAATAGAATCATGGTTAGTAACGTTTATTACACTGAGAACAATCTGTTTAAGGAATAAGGGACATCTGGCTTAACTTCTCTACCATTTAGTTTAATCAATCTTAAATAATAATTATGTCACTTGTTCCCATGAGTAAAACTCATTATCTTCAAGGGAAGGTTTATATATGTTTGATAGTTCGGTGAGTTACAAGAGTAAAGAACAGAGTTCCTTTGTCCACTTCTGTCACCGTCTAGATGGGTGACAGAGGGCAGGGGGCGGAGGCTCCTATAAAAAAAAGGGCAATGACCAGTGCTGAATTCTTAACTCGAACTTATTCTGCTACGCCAACGAGATGTCTCAGAAGATGCACTGAATGGCCCAGTACACTTTGCTGTAATTTTATCATATGGCATTAAAAAGGAGGCCCAAAGGTTTATTAGATTGGAAACACTAACTTCTAGCAATTATGACCAGTCTTACTGTTAGATAGGCAACAAGTACTAGTTTCCTTTTCCTATTATTTATTTTGAGAGAGAGAAAGAGTGAGCGAGAGAGAGAGAGAATGAGAACGAGTGGGGGAGGGGCAGAGAAAGGGGGGGACAGAGGATCCGTGGGGCTCGAACTCACAAACCTCGAGATCAGGACCTGAGCCGAAATCAAGAGTTGGACACTTGGGGCTCCTGGGTGGCTCAGTCGGTTAAGCGTCCGACTTCGGCTCGGGTCATGATCTCGCGGTCCGTGAGTTCGAGCCCCGCGTCGGGCTCTGTGCTGACTTCTCAGAGCCTGGAGCCTGTTTCAGATTCTGTTTCTCCCTCTCTCTCTGACCCTCCCCCATTCATGCTCTGTCTCTCTCTGTCTCAAAAATAAGTAAAAACGTTAAAAAACATAAAAAAAAAAAAAGAGTTGGACGCTTAATCGACTGAGCCACCCAGGTGCTCCCCACCACGCTTTTTTTTTTTTTTTTAATTACTTTCCAAAGGTGTTTCATCAAGTGATTCTTATGACCAATGTTTTGGTAATGAATCCTGATGCTGGAAGACATTTTGTGATAAAAGATGTAATGTGGCTATTTGTGGTCTTACAGTATTTTCATGATTTGAGTGGTTATAAAACAACTACGTAAGACATATATTTTATGGATCCTTTTTGTCAGGCTTCCTAAGATGTAACACTTAGAGGCGGTCCACAGCAAATGCCCTGTGCCATAAATGCATGTTCCGTGAATAGGTTTGAGGAACTCATTTTTGCTGCCCTCAGTCCTCCTTTCTGGCCCTGTCCAGGGCTTTCCTGACTGCTGTCCTCCTGAAGTGGATCTCTCTAGCCCCCTTGACCCTTGGGTTGAGTCATGTTGACTCCTCTGACAGACCACCTGGTGTAGTTTGCTGCAGCCCAACAGGGCCACTGAAGGGGGCAGGAGCTAGGGGAAAGACTACTCAAGAAGTCAGTAGAAGATGTCCAGCCAGGGCCCCAAATGAGCGACTTGGGGCAGAAAATTGCCACTGCTAAGATCCTGCAAGGCACTACAAAAGCATGGCAGGTGCATGGCAGATTTAGGGTCTCCCCACATTTACTGAGTACCCACTATGTGCGTAGGTACTAATTACTTACACATACCATACTTCCTTTACTCCTTCCAATAACCTTATGAGAAGAGTATATAGTTCCCATTTGATAGCTAAAGAAACTGGGACTTTGTAAGTTTAAATAATATGCCCAAAGTCAGAGAGTTACTTACAGAGTGATGGAGCCAGCATTCGGGTTCTTTGATTTCAAGTCCCTGAACATTGTGACCTTGGGGAATCAAGGACCTGGTAGAAGGATCTGGAATTGGAGAAGTAGGCAGCCAGGCAGGCAGTGGGCATCAGGTTGCAATCAAAACGGAACTCTTTGCAGGACTGGAAAGTTATCCCAACAGACCTAATTACCTGAAGGAGGGTTGGTTGGGTCTCAGGAACGAGTCAGAAGCCTGGTTTTAAAAAATAAGGTCCAAGCTTATGTCTAGACAAGTGGAGGTGTGATGCCGGGTCACTCAAGGGCTGGATCAGGGTTTCGAACATCCCATATTTCTACATACAATATCCATTCCCAAGCCTACATGTGGGTCAGGATGGGATGTGGGAGGAAAGGAGTCTGGAAGTAACCTCGCCTGTAGGGAGAAAAAAAGCCTACAGAGGCAGAGAACCAGACAGATCTTGGTACAAAGGAAATCAACATTACCTGGACCCTTCTAAATGACCTTGAGCAAGTCATTTCACTTTTCTGAGCCTCAGTTCCCTTATCAACAAAAGGAGAGAAGTAGATTCAAAAATTTCTAGGATATTAGATTAGGATATTAATTTGGATAATATTAGGATATTAGCAGCTCTAAATTTCTATGGTTTTCTATAACAATCTTATTTCTGTTTTAGCACTTCTCTCTAATTAGAGGGGGGGAAATGTAGTTCCCTATTAAAGGAAACTCAGGGGGCACCTGGGTGGCTCAGTCAGTTAAGTGTCCAACTTTGGCTCAGGTCACGATCTCACAGCTCGTGGGTTTGAGCGCCACATTGGGCTCTGTGCTGACCACTCAGAGCCTGGTGCCTGCTTCGGATTCTGTGTCTCGCTCTCTCTGCCCCTCCCCTGCTCACACTCTGTGTGTCTCTCTCTCAAAAATAAACATTAAAAAAATGTTTTTAAAGGAAACTCAGACATAAGTGAGCTAGGTGAGGGAGATTGTTTTAGTGGGTTTTGTTTGTTTGTTTGTTTTGAAGGTTTTTGGCTTAGGGACTTCTGGATATATACTCTATGGATAGTCATCAAGATATAGGTACATGAAAGTCATTCTCCCAATATTCATATTCGGGGACAACTGTAGCATTATAAACTTATAGCTTTCTTTCTTTGTTTTTTCTTTCCTTCCTTCCTTCCTGCCTTCCTGCCTTCCTACCTTCCTTCTTTTCAAATAGGCTTTTATGCCCAACATGGGGCTTGAACTCATGATCCTAAGATTAAGAGTCACATGCTCTATGGATTGAGCCAGCCAGGCACCCCTAAGTTTATTTCTTTACATGGTTTGTAGAATGGCTCTAGTTTGTCAAACAGTAGTCATTCAACCCCACAGTCATTGAGAAGTCTTAGTCATTGTGATGATGGATCATTCTGATAACTATGTAAATTTAATCTTTTCTGGACTCGGGAAGATTTTAAATATCATAGCTCTTAAGATATGGAAAATCTTTTTTTTCTTTTTAATTTTTTAAATTAAAAAAAAAATTTAATGTTTATTTTTGAGAGAGAGAGGAACAGGGAAGGGCATGAACAGGGAAGGGCAAAGAGAAAGAGGGAGACAGAATCTGAAACAAGCTCCAGGCTCTGAGCCGTCACCACAGAGCCTGGTGTAGGGCTTGAACCCATGAACTGTGAGATCATGACCTGAGCCAAAGTTGGATCCTCAACTGACTGAGCTACCCAAGTGCCCCTTTAATTTTTTTTTTTTAAGAGAGCAGGGGGGAAGAGTAGAGGGAGAGAGAGAGAGAGAGAAAGAGAGAGAGAGGGACGGAGGGAGGGAGAGAATCTTAAACAGGCATCATGCTCAGTGCAGAGCCCTATCTATGTGGGGCTCAATCCCATAACCCTGGGATCATTCCCTGAGCCGAAATCAAGAGCCGGACACTTAACTGACTGAGACACCCAGGCATCCCAAGACATGGATTTTCTACGTAGGTCTTTCTTTCAGCATCTTATATTGTTTGTCTCTTTAATAGACCTGACATCTCTTCGTATGGGGAAAATCTTATTTTATGGCCAGACTATCTTTTAAATTCAAAGACCTGTAAGATAAAAGTGGGTAAGGGGAAACACTAATGTGTGAAATGGCATGGCATGGGATTGTGTGATATTATAGGATCCATAACGACAGGCTTATTCATGTCAGAGGTCTGGATAAGGCAGCGTTTGTAAGCTCTCAAAGAGGGGCAGAGAAGTCAGCCAGTGAGACAGCACCAGCTTCTAACTAAAAATTGTAAAAGCAATGCCAACACTTACTTGTCTCCTGCTTTTTGCCCTTAGGATCCAGCCCTTTCGCGTCTGACTTGGGGGTTGGGTGGATATAGCATCTGGTGAGGTAGGAACAGAGAATTATGGTCAAATGCTCACTGCAGTTTTTGTTTAAAAACTCTCTAGGTTTTTGCCTCCTGTACTTCCACCTGTGAGCTTGTTTTCCGAGATGTTGGCTGCATCGTTTTCCATCGCCGTGGTGGCCTATGCTATTGCAGTGTCTGTAGGAAAAGTATATGCCATCAAGTATGATTACACCATCGACGGGAACCAGGTATGGTCCCCCGTGTGCTGAATCACTTTTGTAGGGCTGAAGACAAGAAAAAAGCATAAACAGGGTAGATTCTGTTGTCTGCTAAGGAAGGGATTGGTCCCTCTCATTAGCCCTTATCAAGCTAGGGTTTCCCTCTTAAGCATGCGAATTCGAAATTAATTGGAAACAGGCATGTTGTATCTCTTTCCTTTTTAAGAAGTTGAAGTAACCCGAACTTTAAGAGTTAATTTAGTCAGGTCATAAATAACATTCAAAGCTAACGTGTTGGGTCAGCCTAAGATTTCTTCATGCAGTCCAGGCTCCCCTGGTATATTTTATTTAATGGCACCTATAGTATGGCAAAACAATGCAACAAACCCCATCGATGGGAGTTGTGACCACCTTAAATTGAGGTGGCTCATTGCAATTAATACACACAAACCTTTTTTGTAGGCATATGCTATGTTCGTTGCAAAATGAGCCGGTTTTAGATTGCTCACAAATCTGTCAGTGTGGTTTGTTTTTGAAAACACAGCATAGCAGTCACAGCAGCTCAATGATTAGTGGTCAGGCAGAATCATGGCCGTCCTAGTCATAATATGCTTCCCAGCAAACATCCAACCACAGAAGAAACACTTTATGTGCGAACAGAACAATGCTTTCTGCGAGAGCTACAGATACACCACTCGCCGGGAAGGGAAGTCAGCATTTTAACCAGTGACTATTCCTTAGCAACCTTAAAAATGATTGAGAGCCGTGAGGCCTCTCTTAGACTCTGTGGAGCCCCAAGTCCTGAATGCCTTTCAAGACCTCCAAGCACTTTTAACGGTAAAGATTAAATTGGGGCTACCAGACAGGGTGGTCTGGGGAGTTGGCTTTCTTATTATTCTTCCTTACACGGTTGGCGAGGGTCTTGCAAAGATTGTATGTGTTCGCATCACTGCCACCCGGTCTCTGCCTTAGGAATTCATTGCCTTTGGGATCAGCAACATCTTCTCGGGATTCTTCTCTTGTTTTGTGGCCACCACCGCCTTGTCCCGCACCGCCGTCCAGGAGAGCACAGGGGGAAAGACACAGGTATGGAACAGCGGCATGGTGGCTTGTGTCTCCTGCAAGGGATGAGCCGGGGAAGTGGCTCTCAGGAAGGCTGGCAGGAGAAGTCAGCAAGGGGATTACCTTGGATACATAGGTTTGAGCCTCCTTGATCCGGCGCCCCGCCCAAATCTTCTTCACATTTATGGTTCCCTAAAGCACAAATTCTCAAATTAATCTCTTTGTGTCACTGCTCAGCTGGCAGAGAGCTATACTTACCTGCTTGTCCAGGGACAAAAACAACTGACAAGGAATCAGTAATGAAAAATACTGATTTTTATCTATTTGTTATCTGGGGATAAAGAAGGCCTAGTGAAAGCACGTCATGGCTTAGGAGGTATTATATTTTCAGGAAAATCAAAAGTGTCTGTCTACATTTCCTTTACAAGGATCAGGAACTTCCTCCAGAGGCCTTTGGGCCCACAGAACAAGTTTGTTGGCCAAGAGTATTGTTGTCGTAACATTTCGGCATTTCTTCTGGAGTACAACTTGTGTTCCTGAAGTTCGGAACGTGGGCTTAAGTTGTCGCCTTCACAAAGTGACCCCAAATCCCTGAATAACCCTGCCTTCCACAGGCCAGAAAGCTCAGGAGCCGTTCTCAAAGGCTCTCTTTTCTAGTAGGAAATGGGGTCAGAGAGGCCCAAATAGGTGGATGGGGGCATGGGACAGGCTCAGGGGTGGTGTTTCTGCCATGCCTGGAGGGCTTTCCCCTCCCCACAGACAGCTATTATTTAAGAGTAAAAGTGTAATGAGGCTATAAAGGAGAACAACAAATCCAAAGGCAGTACCCTTAACACACAGGGTCTTCAGACAGGGTTTTATAAAAGAGATGGGCTGAGAAAACTAGTGACTCCCTGCGGTGGCCCAGGGGGAGCTTTGTCCCCCCCAGGCACACATGATGCTCCCTTTCCATTTATAATGGATCTCTGTGCCGGATTTGGAAGAATGAGCCTCTACCAGTTTCTTGGCTCCAGCGGAACAAAATTTAATTTTAATTTTCAGAATTTTGCTTTTAAAAAAAAAATGTTTATTTATATTTGAGAGAGTGTAAGTGGGGGAGGGCAAAGAGAGGATCTGAAGTGGGCTCTGTGCTGACAGTAGTGAGCTGGAGGTGGGGCTCGAACTCATGAGCTGTGAGGTCAACCTGAGTCGAAGTCGGACGCTCAACCGACTTAGCCACCCGGGTGCCCCTAAAATTTTGCTTTTAATAATTGAATTTCCTTTTTCGGGGGCTTGGGGATGCGAACACTTCTCGCTCTGAGGGAGCAGGTAAGACAGCGCAGCCCTTGCCAAGAGGCAGAGCCGTGCTCTGAGGTCCCCGGGGAAGAGGCCGGAGGGGACTCCAGAGCTGCCCCCGTGTTCAGGCGGCTGTCAGCAAGCAGGTCCCCGCGGCTTTCACCTGAGCCGGGGCATTGACAGACTCCCGTGGCAGCATGCGGGTGTGGGCAGGTCCCCAAGTGGTGAGGTCCACTCTCCTGCTGTTGCCCTCCAGCCTCCGAGGAGGCACGGGCCAGCCGCCCCAGGAAGAATGCCCGTGTAAAGCGATGCCTTGGCAGAGGTCTGGGGGTAATGGTGTTCTGGTAAGCTGACACCTGCCGTCACACACTGGCAGGTATTATATTTAGGAATGAAGGATGCCAGGATTTCAGTAGTGAAGAATGAAGCAAGCACAGACGTGACTTGCTCTTTAATTACTGAAATGTATACTAAGTTCAGGGTTAAAAGTCTAATAGCCTGGACTACAATCCAGGGACTCACAAACACACACACTGGCAGCTCTTCCCTTGTTGTGTGGCTTCTTATGTTTTCTCTGATGTTGGGACCTCAGTTTTCAGCATCTATAAAATGGGAGGATTAATCGTATCCCCCTCATAGGGATGTTGTGAGGATTTAAAAACAAACACACGCCACGTTTGTAAGATGCTGGCACATACCTGTAAACACTTAGTGTTCCTGTCATTAACTCCTCACGATAGGAAAAGCATCGTGGTACCTGTGATGCATATACTATGCCCTGACGCAAAAGAAACACCCCGGCGAATACTTCCTGAATGAACGAATGGAATAATGAGGGTTAGTGACCGTTAACTGTCTGCAGCACATCCTCAGATTGTAGAAGAGCTGAACATTGCAACCTGTTGTTTCTTTCACCCCCATCGGACTCCCGCTGACTCACTGAAAAGTAATTCTGATTGCAAACTTCCCTTAGCTCCGATTACCTTCTCACTTGTAACAGAATAATTAATTTTCTAGCGACTGAATGTGCTCATAGATATAAAATGTACAGCACCTCCCACAAACCAGCCTGATAGAGTGAGTGCATGTAATGGACCCCTCGCAGATTTTAATATAGCGACCAAAATTCGTCCTGGTCCCCATAATTGGCGGCTTAGTGTTGCATATATTTGGCGAGTGGGTGGCCATTCCCCTCGACATGGGCTGTCATTTCTGTCCCCAGATCTCCCTTTCCTTTAGCAATTCACAGAGCCCTACATCCACGGCAAGGTGCAAGTGGCTCATGATAGACAACGATGTTGGCTAAGCGATGGTAGGGAAGAAAGGAAGGAAGGGAGGGAAGAAGGGAGGACATCAGCTGCTCCGCTTAGAGAGGTGAGGGAAAACCACCAAGGCACGGGCATCCTGGAGCCGTGGTGCTAACGGGCAGCAAAGAGCCTAACAGAGGGCTCTGAATGTACAAAGCATCCAGATGTGCACAGCCCATCATTTGCATGATGTTGCCTCAGGCTGAGGTCACCACGGTGGGAACCTGAATGATCAGTCTGCCAGGTGGAAAGACGGTGGCTATGAAATTTCCTATGGTTTTTAGATCTCCTACGTATGTTGGCTTTATCTGTCTCTTTCAGCTCACACCTCCAGTACCAGGCGGCCCCCTGTGCCCGGTACAATCTTCCCTGTTGCTTCTTCTCTCGTGGCTTTGCTTCTGGTGCCCTGTCTCCTTTTCTCCTTTGTTTCAGAGCTTCTGGTCTTCACCTCGGCCAGGTGCCAGCTGTCTCAGCAGAGAGTTCATTGGTCAGCTAACCAAACCAGAGAATAGCCCCACCCCCTCAGCCTCTCTCCTAACTATTTATGGATCTTAGGAGAGCTTTGTTTTGCCAGCGAAGGTAACGTTTCTGAAGGTCCTTTAACCCCTGCTGTTGCCCCGTCATCACTCGGGCTGCTGGGGGGCAAAACTCTTGAGCCTGCGCCCAGGGACTGTTGGAGGAGGCAGGGGGTATGGTCCCACTTCTCATTATGCTCCTGTAGCATTTTGAATTTGCAGAAGGGCCGGTACACTTATTTTCTCTGAGACTTCTGTGCAAATCGGTGCCGTCCGTATGATGTGTTATCAGAATAACTGCTATTATGACTACTGCTTCAGTAATGCAGAGGAATTAGACGTGTGCCTTGGGAATTTATTGCCCAAGAACATTCACGATCTGTTGTTGCAGCAGGGGAGAGGTCCATGTTTCCCGCTATGGCAAATAATTACAAGTGTGGCCTCCCCACCTGACACCAAGGCTATAGGTCTGTAATACATCCAGGCCCAGCCGGCTTTCCCTTCGCAAGCTCAGGCTTCACGTTTTCTTTAATTTCCCTGCCATAGCTACCATATATACGTTTCCCGTTTTTCCTTCAGTTGTGTAGAGTTGTAAGAAATAATTCTCATTTGTCTCAACAGTACTGAGCAGAAGGGGGGAGGCAGGGAGGTGCACCCACGGCCAGGCTCTCCTGCACACATCCAGCGAGCTGGAAGACACGAGGGAGAGGGATGGACCCCGTTCATGGGAGGTGTGTGTCTTTCAGATTGCCGGCATCATCTCGGCTGGGATTGTGATGGTCGCCATTGTTGCCCTGGGGAAGCTGCTGGAACCCTTGCAGAAGGTACAACCCTGCTTCCCAACAGCCCGATTGCATAATTTCTCTTCACTGCTCTGTCACCAGAGAAATAACAGGAGATTTACAAATCCTCACATGGAAGACCATTCCCCTGAATAACACAGCCTTCCCTGTCCCTCTTGACAGTCGGTCTTGGCAGCTGTTGTAATCGCCAACCTGAAAGGGATGTTTATGCAGGTGTGTGACATTCCTCGTCTGTGGAGACAGAATAAGATCGATGCCGTAAGTCACTGGCTGCCCATTTTTGTCTGAAATGTTTGTTTCTTATGTGCTTCCTGCCACATCACTATGTCCCCTTCTCTCCTCAATCTCACCTGCGCTGTGGGACTCCCAGAGCAGAAATTAGAATCAGATGGATAAGCCAAAGCCTGCCAGGTGAATCAAGCTTTGGGAAGGTCCTGTATCCCTGGGAAGATGTATTTCCATCTAGGAAGAATCCCACATAAACACATTAAACACCAGACCAAATAAACACATTACAAAAAATAATAAAAAGAAATGAGGTTTCTAAAAAAATAATAATAAAAATGAAAAAATAAAAATAAATGAAAAAAATAAAAATAAACCCCTCTGTAATATAGAAGGACAAACGAAACTCAAACAAAGCAAAACCAAAATACAAAACCCTTACTGAGTTTAACTCTGACCAAAGTAACCTTCAGAACTGTTCTGAGGAACCATAAAAGCCAGAAGCTAACTGGGTGCCTGGGTGGCTCAGTCGGTTGAACCTCCAACTCTTTTTTTTAATGTTTATTTATTTTTTAGAGAGAGAGAGAGGGAGCACAAGTGGGGTTGGGGCAGAGAGAGAGAAAAAGAGAGAGGGAGAGGGAGACAGAATCTGACAGGCTCCAGGCTCTGAGCTGTTAGCACAGAGCCTGACATAGAACTTGAACTCCCAGACTGTGAGATCATGACCTGAGCCAAAGATGGATGCTTAACCAACTGAGCCATCCAGGCACCCTGAGCCTCCAACTCTTGGTTTCGGCTCAGGTCATGATCTCAATGGTTTGTGGGATACAGCCCCACGCTGGGCTCTGCCTTGACAGCACTGAGCCTGCTTGGGGTTCTCTCCCTCTCTCTCTGCCCCTACCCTGTTTGTGCTCTCTCTCTCTCTCTCAAAATAAATAAATAAACATTTTCTAAAAATTAAAAAAATAAATAAAATCTTTAAGAAATGTGGGAACATAAAATAATGCTATGCAGTCATATTTGCTTGTACTTGCAAAAGCTACTGGTGAAAAGTGTGCACATGTACATGCACAGAGACACATATGGAAATGTGAACACAAGTGAGGGTGTTGGACAGGTGAAGAGGGGAGAGAGTCGGAAGCAAGGTTTTCTACTGTACGCTTTTGTAATATTACTTCCATTTTGAACCACGTTAATATATTCCCTATTCAAAACTTAAATTAAAAACAAAACATTGAAATGGGACAATTGGTCTTTGTTGGAAACATCAGTTTCTACTTCCATTGAAACATGAAGTAAGAATATTTTTAAAAAGTGGAATTTGTTCATGGACAATTGATCTTCTTGTTTTTACAGGTAGTGTCTCACCTGATGGTCCCTGACAGATTAACGAGGTTCTTTCCATTTCTGTTTTGTCCTAGGTTATCTGGGTGTTTACGTGCATAGCGTCCATCATTCTGGGGCTGGACCTCGGTTTACTAGCTGGGCTCATGTTTGGATTACTGACTGTGGTCCTGAGAGTTCAATTGTGAGTAATGTAGGACCCAGATTTCCCAAAAAGAAGACAACATGCCCTGAGAGTTCTTTCTTTTTTTTTTTTAAGTTTATTTATTTGAGAAAGAGTACAAGCGGGGGAGGGCCAGAGAGAGAGGGAGAGAGAGGCTCCCAGGCTCCAATCCGACAGCACGGAGCCTGATGTGGGGGTCAAAGTCATGAACTGTGAGATCATGACCTGAGCAGAAACCAAGAGTCGGATGCTTAACCGACTGAGCCACCCTGGCTCCCTACACCCTGAGATTTCTTATACCATTTTAATAAAATATAGGGAAACCACTCCCTTTCATAATAGTTACCATGTATTGAGGGCTTCTATGAATTAAGCCTATAGTGCTTGGCACACATTATCATATTTAGTCTTTGGGACAATCCCATGAATAGGTTGTTTTTTTGTTTTTTTTTTTTTAATTTTTTTTTCAACGTTTATTTATTTTTTGGGGGAGAGAGAGAGAGACAGAGCGTGAACGCGGGAGGAGCAGAGAGAGAGGGAGACACAGAATCGGAAATAGGCTCCAGGCTCCGAGCCATCAGCCCAGAGCCTGATGCGGGGCTCGAACTCACGGACCGCGAGATCGTGACCTGGCTGAAGTCGGACGCTTAACCGACTGCGCCACCCAGGCGCCCCATGAATAGGTTTTTTAATTCTCATTCTACAGAAAAGAAAATCAAAGCTCCGAAAGGTTAAGAACCTTCCCCAAGATCACACAGCTAGTAAGTTGCAGAGTCAGGGCTTGAACCCAGATGTATCTCACCCCAAAATCTGTGCATTTAGTCACATGCTCTACTGCTGCCCTCTCCTTCTGGTCACAGTAAGAATAAAAGATGCGTGACTCAGTAAGGACTGATGTGGCTCTGTGGTTCCTTCTGCAAATGAGATGCAGTCTGTGGGGCACATACCGGCTTGGGACAAGATAGCCACTAAGTGTATTACAGCTCATTTTCTCCTGAAGCTAATAACTCAGAACAGGAGATTTTTTTTTTTAATTTTTTTTTTCAACGTTTATTTATTTTTGGGACAGAGAGAGACAGAGCATGAACGGGGGGAGGTCAGAGAGAGAGGGAGACACAGAATCGGAAGCAGGCTCCAGGCTCTGAGCCATCAGCCCAGAGCCTGACGCGGGGCTCGAACTCACGGACCGCAAGATCGTGACCTGGCTGAAGTCGGACACTTAACCGACTGCGCCACCCAGGTGCCCCAGAACAGGAGATTTTAAAAGCATTGACTGTAGCCCAAATTCATTCAGATCTGCCAAAGAAAACGTACCCAAGAAACCACATGAGTGTATGAAATAGACGTAATTAGGTCATATACCGAGTGAAAAGAGCAAAGACATGGCTTGATGTCATGGAAAACAATCTGTGGGAGAGCCGGAAGGTGTATGGTTTTTTGTTGGTTTTGTTTTGACTCTTTTTTTTTTTAATGTTTATTTTTGAGAGAGAGAGAGAGAGAGAGAGAGAGAGAGAGAACACACAAGTTGGGGAGGGGCAAAGAGAGAAAGAGAGAGACAGAGAATCCAAAGCAGGCTCCAGGCTCTGAGCTGTCAGCATAGGGTCCAATGTGGGGCTCAAACTCTCGAGCCATGAGATCATGACCTGAGCCGAAGTTGGATACTTAACCGACTGAGCCACCCAGGCTTTGTTTTGACTCTTAAGAGGCTTTTGGTATGTGCTCTCCTGTGTTTATGAAATTGTCTGAACAGAGAGGCAAACAGAGCCTGGTTTCCTCCTCAAAACTTCTGTGATCTTTCCAGAGTTCTGGCCTCTTCTCTGCCTGTGCTTGGGTCATGAAGGTTAAAAGAATCTGGAAAAACATCAGCTGAGACACCTTCAGCTTAGCATAAGCCCACCCTTGTTGTTCCACTGGCCAATTCTCCTTCTCTTACTTCTTCCCTACCCTGGCACGTTGGAGTCTTCCCCAAAACTTATGTTCACTGCCTCAGTACTCTTAACTGGTTCCCCAAGGGCCCAGGAGAGTTCACGAGCTCCCAAAGTACCCAATTTGCTGCTGGAAAGTAACTCAGAACCTGTCCTTGGAAGATGTTTCTTCTCATGGTCTGTATGCCACAGTGTGTGCTTTGCCTTGCGTGGGTGTGGTTGGGAGAGAAAGGTTTGTTGAGAGAGGCTCTATAGCTTATGAACACTCTGTGAAAATTTGGCACAGCCCAGTAAGCTGAGGAGAAAGCAGTGGTACGTTTTGGCCACTGATTTGGTAACTAGGCTTTTCGCCAACCAAAAATTATATCCTCTGCAATATTTCATTTCCAGTAATTATATGGCTGATCCAGAGGGCACACAAACAGACACTCTTTCTTCGGGAATTATGTTTAGCACCTGTCCCTAGTCACACCTGAAGAATCACGGAAGTTTTTGATGGTACCAGGAACAGGAAGTGAACAGTCTGGTTGATGGGAAGGATGTACTGCTGGCTCTCCCAGGCTCCCATTTCTAGAAATTGAGACTAATCTGATCACCGCAGACTCGCCATATTTCATCAGACAGTTGTTCTAACTCCCGAGTAAGTTCCAGGCACTGTGCCAGGCACTGAGGACCCTTGGGTTAAAGATAACCTAACCTAATCTTACCTCCGGGGCCTTTTTGGCTTTATCTGAACCTCAGCTTACTCAACCATAAAAATGAGGACAGTACTGCTGACCTTCCAGAAGTTTGGCGGCTCCTAGATAAAACTTAACATGTGTGAAAGCTCTTTGCTTGGCCTCTAAAGTGTTGTACACAGGGGAGTGGGATGTTCATGACTTCTCTCAGCCCTCAGGAAAATCCTCCTTCTCCAAGGGCCCACGCAAACACCAGCTGTTCATTTCAGAATTAGCTGCAGGAAGATGTGATCTGTAACAAGGACACACATGCAATAAAGAGCCGAGAATGATGGGCTCTTTCGTATCTGTGATGTCTTGTCATTTTTTATTCCAAAGTATGCCTGTTCCACAAAATCCTGACCTAATTTTTCTTCTTTTAGTCCCTCATGGAACAGCCTTGGAAGCATTCCTAGCACAGACATTTACAAAAGTACCAAGAATTACAAAAATGTAAGTGCCTTTGTGAGACAGTTGCTGCCCTTGGGTTGCTAGCCTGGATTTTCAGCGGGTAGCGTATTTCTCTTTCAGTGTGTTAGGTACAAGGTAGCTAAAGGGGGAGGCTTCTTCCAGGAAAGTTTAGAAGTTCACTGGGGGTGTCATGAAAACTTTGACCTAATGTGCTCTCTGATATCCACAGTTTGTATGAATTGTGTCCATGCTAGTTTGAATGTTTGTTTGTTTTTTAATGTTTATTTTTGAGAGAGAGCATGGGAAGGGGCGGGGGATGGGGACAGGGGGACAGAGGATCTGAAGCCAGCTTTGTGCTGACAGCAGAAAGCCCGATGTGGGACTCAAACTCACGAACCCATGAGATCATGGCCTGAGCTGAAGTTGGACGCTTAACTGACTGAGCCACCCAGGCACCCCTGAATGTCCTTTTAATGTAAAACCATTGTAAAAGGAATTTTAAAAAATAAGCAGTTTGATTATTTCCAGAAGTTGCATCAAAATTCTATTTCTCTGCTATGTAATCCTTACCCCCCATGAAATTATCTGAAATCCCTGTAAGATTATCTTCATTTAATGCTTCATTTAAGCTCTCTGATTAGACATTTTGCTCCAATCTTGGAATTGGAAGAAATGACATATAATATTGGAAGTGAAAACATAAAGAAAAGACACATTCCACTTATAGGCTTGTGTTCCTTGAAGTAGCTTAGCGGTCACCAGGGGAAACGGCGATGAAAAAGCAGAGAAAGAAAATCAAGAAAAAAACCAATTTAGCGTAAAAAAATGTTGGACACAGAATCTGGAATTCCATTAGCTGCTACTTAATTTATTTCCACATCTTTCTCAGCACTGCCAAGAGCTAAACAATGATGGTAGAGAATCTTTTGGCTCAGGGAATCATGGGCTGAGTTTGGGGGTTTGCAGTTCCAGGCTCCACTTTGGGGAGACTCTGTCCACATCACTCAGCCTCCCAACACTTGTTTTCTCACCTCAGGGGCTCAGACTGAAATCGCTATGATTCCTAAAGACTAGGAAAGTCTAGGATTTCGCAAGCTCTACTTTTGGTCTGGCCACCATGTGTCAGGGTGAGAACAAGCAACCGACATTGTTGGCCTCCATTCTTGCACATCCCCTCAGTTTACTACCTTTTTTCTTGTTCCTTCTTTTTTTCTAAGTTTATATATTTATTTTGAGAGAGAGAGCGAGAGGGGGAGGGGCAAAAAGAGAGGGAAAGAGAGAGAGAGAGTCCCAAGCAGGCTCCCTGGCACAGAGCCTGATGCAGAGCTCGAACTCACAAACAATGAGATCATGACCTAAGCCGAAATCAAGAGTTGGATGCTTAACCCACTGAGACACCTTGGTGCCCCAACACTCCTTTTTTTTTTTTTTTTAAGAATTTTAAGACAAAGAACAAATTGGGGTTCCGTGGTATGAACCTGAGGCAAATCACGTCCTCATTCTCAGCCTCAGTTTCTCCATCGGGAAATCAGAGTGTTGAATAATTGCTTACGAAGGCCCTTCCTAACTTGATCTTCTATGGGACTGTAAAGTTCCAGTAGTTTGAATAACCTATTGCCTCCTAAGTGGAGACAGCCCCTGTTCAGGGAGAAGTGAGTGCTGTCGTCCAGCCCCTCTGAGTAATTGTAACTTGGCTCCTAGCCGAAAAGCCAGAAATTTAATTAAATATTTGAAGGCTGAAATTATTTAACTTCACACATTTTGTTTTCTTAATGCCAGATTGAAGAACCTGAAGGAGTGAAGATTCTTAGATTTTCCAGTCCTATTTTTTACGGCAACGTTGATGGTTTTAAAAAATGTATCAAGTCCACAGTGAGTATTTTATCCCTAGAAATTTGGTTTCTAACCTCCTTTGAGACTTCATTCATTCTACGGGTATTTATTGCCTCAAACTGGACAAGACCCTACACCCTATTCCGTTTGTATGGGGCTTTAAGAATTATAACATCCAAGTAACTTACAATCTGTTTGGCAATAGGAAAGAACCCAGAAATACCGTACGTTAAAATCCAGGTAGCAATAACTATGGAAGACCAAAACAGTAGTTTAGACAGTAAATGTGAAGAGTTCAGAGAAGGGAGAAATCCATGTGGGTTGGGCTAATCACATAAGAAAGATTATGTCAGGTGTTTGGAAACTATGTGAGCTGAGAGTCAGAGGTAAGTACGTGTATTTGGGCAGGGAGGGTGTTTGCCCAGTTGGAGTAAAGGGTAGAAAGTATAAGTGGAATATGTAAGCCGGAAATTCTGGCCTAGAATGGCATGCCAAGCTTTGAAGCTGAGGTTTGCCCCTACATCAGTGTTTTTCTTAAGTGAGTTCCAGAGCAAACTGGTTCAAGGGAATGGTCATAGATTTTGCAATAGCAAAAGGGCTCTGTGATGTCAAGGAAATTTGTTAACACAGACGTAAAGCTAAAGAGGTTATTCTGTGTGGGTTTTTGGTTTTTGGTTTTTTGGTTTTTTTTTTTTTTGCTTTGTTTGTTTGTTTGTTTGTATTTTACTCTTTTAGAGCCTTTAATATGAGACTGTCTTCCCTGAGTCTCTGGCTAGGTGGGGTAGGGGTGATACTGGAGACCTCCACCAGACCTCAGAATTTCTTTTTTGGCAGGATGTCTCAAGGAATAATACCACTTGGGAAATCGCTTTTCCAGATAACAATTACCATTAATCAGCATTAGGAACCAGATGTTTTAAGTAACTTGACATTTCTTTCCAAAGGTTGGATTTGATGCCATTAGAGTGTATAATAAGAGACTGAAAGCACTGAGGACAATACAGAAACTCATCAAAAAAGGACAATTAAGGGCAACAAAGGTGAGGCGACATCTTTCTTTTTCTTGTTAAATCCCTTTCCTTCTCATGTGAAAATGAAAGCAGTTAGACAGTTGAAAATTAGATTTATTCGCTTTGGTACCCAGATGTGTTCAGGCAGTTGACAATGTATGTTGGACGACAGTTATTCTTGTAGGCAAGAGGGAATGGGAGAGAATTAAAAAATCAGCAGAACTCTCTGGAAACACAGAGTGTGATACTTTTTCCCATCGAGAAATAAACCTTATTTTTACTGAAGGGAAGAAAATAAATGCTAATTCAATGCCAGAAAAATGCTCACAACAGAAGGCAGCTAAGTTCATAAACTTTTAGATCTATTACCTTTTATTCAGACTCTCCTGCCTATGTATCTCTTGGCCAAGTTCCACAATCTTCCAGAAATCAAGAGTTTCCTGGCTCCTCTGCTCTTCCATTTTTCTTCTTAGGGAACATCACAGTTTGGACTGAGGTAAATCTCATTCCTTAAGAGTTCATCCCTTTGATGTTTTGCTCGCCAAGGAAAAGTGTATAGGACTTTTAAGTAATTTGAGATGCATTATTGCAAGGTGTCCCTGGTCATTGGCAACTAAGTTGGCAGTGTTTTCTTTGTTTAGAATGGCATTATAAGGGATGCCGGTTCATCAAATGATGCTTTTGAGCCTGATGAAGATGTTGAAGACCCAGAAGACCTTGATATCCCAACCAAGGAAATAGAGATTCAAGTGGATTGGAACTCTGAGCTTCCGGTCAAAGTGAATGTTCCCAAAGTGCCAATCCACAGCCTCGTGCTTGATTGTGGAGCTGTGTCTTTCTTGGATGTTGTTGGAGTGAGATCATTGCGAATGGTAAGGTTTTGGTGCTTTGAATGACAGATTTGGAGCTTTGGCCATAGTACCATGATACGGGGTACCTGGTCTTGCAAAAGGGTGATTGTCGGATCTGTAATTTTTCTAGAGGAATGCTTTTGCAACAGAGTGTAGTATTTTAAAGCATAGACTGCGAGGCCAGACATGTGGTTGAATCCCGGCTGTCCCACTTACTCACAGTGTGTCCATGGACAAGTTGCTTAATCTGTCTGTACCTCAATTTCTTAATCTGCAATATGGGGGTAATGATGGTACCTACTTCATGGGGTTGTTATGAAGATTAAATAGGTTTATATATATGGACATATTATATATGTAGCTAATAAAAAAGCTAATATATAATATATATATATATACTATGTATATATAAAGAAAGAATGTTTAGAAGTATCTCAGCAAATACTAATATTTATTAGGTTTTATTTTTTTGAGTATAGAAAATGGAATATTTAAAAGAAGAAAAAATGGGGGCTCCTGGGTCATGGGATCAACTTCAGCTCAGGTCATGATCTCACAGTTCATGAGTTTGAACCCCGCGTCAGCCTCTGTGCTGACAGCTCAGAGCCTAGAGCCTGCCTCTGATTCCATGTCTCCCTCTCTCTCTGCCCTTCCCCTGCTCACACTCTGTCTGTCTGTCTCTCTCTCTCTCTCAAAAATAAACATTAAAAAAATAAAATAAAATAAAGACAACCATGTGAAGTGCTCCAAAACAGACTAATTAGGGTCAACTTGACTGCAAGTGTCAAGTTTAGGTGAAGCTGCAGGTTGTAGTAAGAGGGTTGGAGAGAAAAGCAGGGTCAAGGTACTGACAATCAGATGTAATAACATGGAAATGACCCCAATAGGTGAAGGGGATTAAGAGTACACTTCTCTTGATGAGCACTGAGGCATATATGGAACTGCTGAATCCCTATTTTGTACACCTGGAACTGATATGTTAACTACACTGGAATTAAAATTTAAAAATGTTTAAAGTCTATTTAAAAACTTTGGAAATGAAACCCTAACTGAGGTTTAGCCTAGTTGGGGCTTCCTGGCTGCCTCTGCAAGGGCAGGAAATGATTCCACGGGGTGGATAGTAGGCAGGTTAGGCAGAAAAAGTGATTATACTTGACAGAAGAGTTCAAGAATATGCTGACAGTTGCAGGGCTCCTGGTGGCTCAGTTGAGCATCTGACTCTTGATTTTGGCTCAGGTTGTGATTCCCAGGGTCGTGGGATCAAGCTCCACATTGGGCTCCATGCTGAGTGTGGAGCCTACTTGGGATTCTCTTTCTGTCCCCACTGTCCCTCTTCCTTGCTTGTGCTCTCTCTAAACACACACACACACACACACACACACACACACACACACACACTGATAGGTTCTATTCCAGTTCTTTTAGAAAACCTGGCTATTATAATGCTCATTTGAGAACATAAATGAAAACATAAATCTTATTCTTTACTGTGCACTTTACTCTCGTCTTTGGTTCAGATCCATTGTAGATTGTATTGGGCAAAGGGTTTAATGAATTACTTTTGGGGAGAGTACTAACTTATCTAATGCCAGGATATTTCCCACACCCACACCTATTTATTTATATCTCCAAACAGAGGTCTTGATTTTTTTTTCCCTTAAAATGTGAAGTTCTCTTTTATTATTGCCCATAGTTCTCATGTCTTGATTTTTTGTTTTTAATTTTTACATTTTTACTGAAATATAATTAACATACAGTATAACATTAGTTTCGGATGAATAATGTAATGATTCAACAAATTCTATACATTATTCAGTGCTCACCACAATAAGGGTACTCTTAATTTCCTTTATTCACCCTTCTCCCCTCTGGCAACCCACCAGTTTGTTCTCTGTATTTAAGACTCTGGGGTTTTTTTGTTTGTTGGCTCATTTGCTTTGTTTCTTAAATTCCACGTATGAGTGAAATTGTATGGTATTTGTCTTTCTCTGACTTATTTCACTTAGCATTATGAGTGATGTTGAGCATCTTTTCACGTGTCTCTTTGTCCATCTATGTTGTTGCAAATGGCAAGATCTCATTTTTTTTTATGGCTGAGTAATATTCTAGTGTGTGTGTGTGTGTGTGTGTGTGTGTGTGTGTGTGTGTGTATACACCACTTCTTTACCCATTCATCTATTGATGGACCCTTGGGTTGCTTCCATAGCTTGGCTATTGTAAATAATGTTCAATAAACAGAGGGGTGCGTATATCTTTTTGAACTAGTGTTTTCATTTTCTTTGGGTAAATACCCAGTAGTGGAATTATCATATCATTTGTTATTTCTATTTTTCATTTTTTTAGGAACCTCTATACTGTTTTTCACAGTAGCTGCCTGCACCAATTTATATCACCGTCAACAGTACACAAGGGTTCCTTTTCCTCCACAGTTTTTCCAATGCTTGTTAATTTTTGTCTTTTTGATATTAACCATTCTGACAGGTGGAAGGTGATATCTCATTGTGGTTTTGATTTGCATTTCCCATGATGAGTGATGTTGAGCATCTTTTCATGTGTCTGTTGGCCATTTGTAGGTCTTCTTTGGAAAAACATCTATTCCGGTCCATTTTTAATCAGATTATTTGGGGTTTTGGGTATTGAGTTGTATAAGTTCTTTCTCTATTTTGGATATTAACCCATTATTGGGTGTATTATTTATGAATATCTTCTCCCATTGAGTAGGTTGCTGGGTTTTGAGTTTTTCTGTGTGTATGGTGTAAGGTAGGAGTCCAGTTTCATTCTTTTGTATGTAGCTGTCCAGTTTTCCCAACAACATTTGTTGAAGAGACTGTCTTTTCCCCATTGTATATTCTTGCCTCTTTTGCCATGGGTTAACTGACCACATAAGTGTGTGGGTAACCTGGGTGGTTGAGTTGGTTAAGCGTCCGACTTCAGCTCAGGTCATGATCTCGCGGTCTGTGGGTTCGAGCCCCGTGTCGGGCTCTGTGCTGACAGCTCAGAGCCTGGAGCCTGTTTCATATTCTGTGTCTCCTTCTTCTCTCTGCCCCTCCCCCACTTGCACTCTGTCTCTGTCTCTCTCTCTCTCAAAAATAAACAAACATTAAAAAAAAAATGACCATTTAAGTGTGGGGTTATTTCTGGGCTCTCTATCTTGGTCCATTCATCTATATGCCTATTTTTGTGCCTGTACCATACTGTTTTGATTACTAGAGATTCATAGCATATCTCAAAATCCTGGATTATGATACCTCCAGCTTTGTTCTTATTTCTCAATATTGCCTTTGGCTGTATCTTGAGTTTTTTAATTAATGTTTTTATTTTGAGATAATTGTAGATTCACATGGAGTTTTAAGAAATAATGCAGAGAGATCCTATGAAACCCTTATCCAGTTTCTCCCCCTGGGATCATCTTGCAATGCCATAGAACAGAAATCACAATCAGGATATTCACATTGATACAGTCAAAATACAGAGGCCTTTTTAGGTCAGTTTTACATTTGGAATCCGATGGCCACATATCCATACGCCTGTATCTTCCATTGCAAGATACAAATGTATGCTCTTGTCTCTAATCAGCAGGGACTATGTTAGGAAGCCTCCTGTATGCCCCTCTTTCCTTTCTTCTGCAAACATTCTTTAATCGCCTCTGTGCTGTTGAGCCCTGTGCTGTTGTGCACTGGATTTACCACCTCTTGAGATGGTCTTTTCATCCCTAATCATACCATCACTGTAGGTTGAAAACTTCTGTGGTTTTCCAATAATGAACTTTCCTCCAGTAATCAACTTTCCTTAAAGTCCTGATTAACCATGAAAGTGTTCAAGTTTCTCCTGAGCGAGTAATTGAATGCTACTGAATTATGGGTAGATGAAGTCACTCATTGTTACAAATTCTTTTTTAAATTTTTAGATTGTCAAAGAATTTCAAAGAATTGATGTAAATGTGTACTTTGCATCGCTTCAAGGTAAATGCATGCACAAACATATCTACCTATAAGACTTTCTGCTGAGCCCTTTCTTCTACGTTGGGAGTGTGGGTACATGATGTCCAAAGAGCCTTTTTCTCAAACTATTTTTTATTGTGGTAAAAGATGTATAGCATAAAATTTGCCATTTTGGTCATGCTCATGTGGACAATTAAGTCAGTGGCACTAAGTACAGTCGCAATGTCGCACAGCCATTACAGCTATCAATTTCCAAAATTTTTCAGTGCCACAAACAAAAACTCTACCCATTATGCAATCACTCGGAGGGCCTTTTTGAAACCTGGAAAAGTATTACTTCCAATCTGTGCAGTAGAGCTGGTAATCCGTGGAAATGCATGTCCTGATAACAGTACAGGGCCAATGGAGAAAATTTACCATGGGGATGACTTAGGTTCTTTAGAAGCAGAGGCTCCTCTAGGGTCTGAGTCTGTGTCTCTCTATGTACGAGTGTATGTGTATAGGAAAATGCTAGTGCTCAGACTGAGTTCTCTAGAAATAGGCCCTGAGATAAAGATTCTTGGGCAAGTGACTTATTGAGAGTATACATGAGAAATTCATGCAGGACTGCTGGAGGCAGCATAGGGCAGGGGAAGAGGCTGGACAAAGACATTGTTTTAGAAGTCTACCATAGCCTGAGTTTGAAAGGAACACAAAGAAGGAAAAGCATCAGAAGTTTACCCTTCCTTGAGGTAAGGGGGCCAGCCTTTTTACCCTCATATCAGTGAGTAAAAGGCTGTAGGCCACCCAAGGTTGGGGTGTAAACCAGTGACCAAGGAAAGTTCTTCAGAGAAAGGCACAGCTGTGAGTCATTAACAGCCAGGCTCATCATGGCAGCCTGAGGACGGGTACCCTGGCAAAACCACGTGCTTGTGAGCCGAGGCTGTCTACCACAACCAGTTATGGCATAACCATTCCCTGTGCTTCTGGAAAAGAAACTCAGTCAGTTTAGAGCAGGGTCACATTTTGAAAATGAAGGGAACAAAATGAAAAGGAGGGGCTGACAAAATTTAGTATTGGCTGATGTTACAAACGTGTTTTGCTAGAGACTGAACATCATCTCTTTCTTTTGAAGATCATGTGATAGAAAAACTGGAGAAATGTGACTTCTTTAATGATAACATTAGAAAGGACATATTCTTTTTGACGGTCCATGATGCTGTCCTCCATCTACAGAACCAGGTTAAATCCCAAGAGGTTCAAGATTCCATTTTAGAAACGGTAAACATTTAAGCTTTCTACATAAGTATCTTTCCTAAACTACGATGATTTCTGTAAAGAGCAAAAGATTTTCACAAATCTACACCTGAATCACAGTCTAGTAGGATTTGGGGCCATCTGCTTGATTTCTCAGGGCCTCAGTTTTTTCATCAGTAAAATGGGAGTAAAAACATTTACCTCACGGGGTTAATAGGATGACTAAATAAGATAGTTTATAGGAAAGCACCTGGTAGTACCTGGTGCATACTTATTTTACAACGTGTGAGCTTACTAATAAAAGTAGGCATTCACTGTAATAATGCCTTTTTAGAATATAGATGGCGAATCTTGGATTTTCTGTGATATGGGTATACAAATGCACAATTATATATATAATTTAAATTTTCAGCCATCTGGAAAACCTCAGTGATAAATGTCTTTAAATAGAATCCTTTAGGTCATAACTGATCTTTGAAAAAGAAAAAAAGAAAAGTCATGAGTCAGCCCAGAGTTAATAATTTCCCAGAAAACAGAATAGACCCTGGTTTCCCATGAGCTTCCTTATTTTGTCAACTCTCCTGACACATACCCCGGACAGCCAAGCATTCCGGGCTGGGTCACTGGGCTGAGTCACTGGGCCTGGCCCAAGAACCTCTTCTCTCATGGACCCTCTGACAGTGAATTTGAAAAATTAAAACAAACACTTATAAAATAACAACAATAGTAATTATTCCAGTGACACAATGTACTATATTTTTAATTGCTTCCTTCCTTTCTAAAATTCAGATGAGCAAGTTTTTATTGTATATTGGAAGTTAATGTTTGAAGTAAAACTAGCTTAGAAAACAATAGTGCATTATTCTTTTTAGCTCTTGTTAGTGGAGAGGCCTCTTAATGCTGGGGAGTGGGGGGTGGATATTAGCACTAAATACCAAGGTATGGATCTTACATACAAAAAAAAAAAAAAAAGTGGTAAAAAAACAAAACTCAAAAAAAAAAAACAAAAAAAAAAGAAGAAAAGGAAAGCAAGCTACATGCAAGATGCTCATCTTAGAAAACTCATAAACTTTCCTCTACTTTCTAACTTAAAATCCTCTAACTCACAGGTAACAAAACCAAAGCAGGATCATCCAAAACATCTAAAAAACAAACAAACAAAACAAAACAAATAAACACCTCACTTAAAAGTATCTAGACCTGAGGTGTCAAATTATTTCTCAACCTGAAAATGGTTATTTTGTTATTTGTTTATACCCTACTTCCGATTCAAGCTCTCAGGCCAGGAGTATCACAGAAACCACTAACCAAGCATGCCCCCCCCATCCCAGGGCTAGACTCCATCTTGTCTGCCATCAGGGAGGCATTGAGAGTGGCTGAGATGGATTTTTTGACCCTGAACAAATGTTAGACTGCATATAAATGAGTGTTTCTATCATACACCTACCAGGTCACTGGATAGGAGGATGAGCACTACTGGTGACCCATTATACCAGGAACCTTCTACTTCTATGTGACTTCAGTGTCTAGCACAAAGTCCCATATGTGATAGATATCTAGCAAATGATGATAACTCTTGCCTGTGGTTCTTTCCTTTCCTTCAGGAAGTGTAACTGGCATATTATGGAGATTGCGGATGCAGTGATATGACCCTCTCCCTGTCCCTTTATTTAACCATCACAGGGATTATCCCAGGATAGCCTCAACTTGTGGTTACACCCAGCCTCTAACTTTCCCATTATGTCATGACCATCCGCAACAGAGGACAACAAGTCCCTGATACATTTCTGCACGAGCAAAGAGAATTGGGTTATTTATGTCTGAGGTGGAAAGTAGCTGAAAAGCACTTTGAAACATCACTCTTGTCTGGGTACACATTTGGAGTTGCTTTAGAAATATCCTTCTTCACACATAAAACAAAGCCCAAATTGCTATTGGTTTCCTCTGTGTGGAAGGTTAAACTGCACGTTACTGCTAAAAAGCAGAACTTTCCCCCAAAACCAACTGGGTCCATACACTCTGGTCTTCCACCTCCAGTAAAATCTCCATCCAGTTCAGCGGGGGACTGTTCATTGTCATCAGTCACAAGCCCTCCGCTGGGCATTCGCTGTATACTCGAGGGTGTACTAAGTGCTCTCAGCTCAGCCATTGAAAGAAAAACACAACTGAGTCCTGAGTCATTTAGGCAGACAGGGTGACTCTTAAGAGGTACACACTTCAGAGGTTGGAGAAGAGAGCTGAAAAGGAGGTGAGACAGTGGAGAACGGTGCCAGTTCACACTTGAATGTGAAAAAATAGTATGGGGAAAAATTCTAAGGTGGGAAATGCAGAAGAACAAGAAAGCTGTGAAGGATTTTGCAGTATGTAGATCATAGATGAGAAACACCAGCAAAGCCTCAGATAATTTTCTGTGGGGTATCAGGTGGGCTGATGCGCTGATGTCATTATCGTTCCAATAAATATTCTCTGTTCTCTTGGTCAAGATTACGCTCATCCAAGACTGTAAAGATCCTCTTGAATTAATGGAGGCAGAGCTGATTGAAGAAGAACTTGATGTCCAGGATGAGGTATGGTCATTAGTTTCTTTCAAAGAAAATAATTTGGATTAAATCTTGAATCAACAGAATAACACAAATAGTTGACTATGTCTGATTAAAACAATTCAGGGGAAATAATTAAGAAAAAATACCAGAAGGATGGCTTCATAGAGAGGGGAAAATGGTGGAAAACAAGAATTATCCCTTGGGGGCATTAAGTACTTAGGGACCCTTTGCCCCAGGTATGTAGGCATGATCAGTGACTAGAAGCAGCCAGCACACTGGTCCTGATTTTCTACCTAAGCCTCCCCATACATCCTCTTCCTTTCCTACCTAAGGCCAGGGAGTTTCATAAGTTTCAAGAGAAGTATGTGAGGCACAGGACCCTTTCTTTATCTGACTGATTATGGTAAACAGGATACTCCATTCAAGACTGATGCCATGTATTTCTCATGCTCTTGGGACATCAGACTCTTCCTAAGAACCTTGACCGAAGCGTAGTATCTGACTGAACTCTATGGTTCCACCAACAAGTAAGATGGGGCCCACAAAGGAAGAGCATAGAAACTTTAAGGTTGAAAGATGTCTTGGAATATCAAGACATCCACATATTAGCCCTGTGCAGAGATCTCTCCTAGTCCATCCCCAAGGATGTTGACTTAGCTTTTGTGTGCACATTTCTAGATATTGGCAACTGGTAGCTTTTCAAGGGAGTTTGTTACATGGTTGGATGTCTCCAAGTGTTAGTTTTGCTTACAAAACTAGATGCAGCCTTTCTTTAGTAACTACCCAGTGGACTGAGATCTGCCTTCTGTAGCAACACAAACCCTCCCACTGAACAGCCCTTACATATTTGACGGTAGCTCTCATGTTCCATCAGACTCTACTTCAGGCTAGAATTCTCCAGTTCCCTTTATTCCTCAGGCACAAAATTTGTCAATGCTTCTCTAGTCAAAAAGGGGACATAAGATCCCAGATGGAGTCAGGTCAGCATGGAGATTATGCAACCACCTTGATCTTGTCAAGATATGTCTATTACTGTGACTTTAAAATGTATTTATTTTCATTGCAGCCACATCAAAATCTTGGCTACTATTGAGCAAGGGGCCAACAACAAACTTGGGCATTTTACACAAACTATGGCCCAGCTAGGCTCCTCATTTATATTTATATAATTGAGTTTTGACCCTAAAGCAGGGTTACACATATTTTTGCCAGACTACATCTTGTTGGTTCTAGTTTGTGGATACAGTTTAGAATTCTGAACTCCTCACCTGCATACGAACTCTCCATCCTACTGGCGTCATATGCAAATCTGATCAGCTTGCCTTCTCTGCCTTATTCCAGATCTTGATAAACATGTTGTTCTCAACATTCGAACCCCTATGGTAAAATCAGGTAGTGTGGAGAACAGGCAGAGATTTTTGTGGAGAAAATACATTGCTAGGGTGAAAATCAGAGGTCCTACCTCCTTAGTCCATCAGCTTAGCAAGTCTAAGAATGTCATTCTTAGCCCAACATGGGGCTTGAACTCATGACCCTGAGATCAAGACCTTGGCTGAAATCAAGTCAGATGCTTAACTGACTGAGCCACCCAGGTGCCTGGGGATGTCATTCTTGAGCTTAGAAGTACTTCCAGCTTTAGCAGTTTGTGATTATGGTTATAAGGCTGACTTAGTGGAGTAAAAACTCCTCAAAATTGGGAGTTAGGAAGTTGCCACATTATAGAAGTATTTTTGGATTGCCCTATAAACTAACGGCATCTTTATTCAGGTAATGGATTAGAGGATCATTCAGGTAGGGTACCTGTAGCTAGCAAAGGAGTACAGTGAAGTGGTTTTAAAAGTATGAGCTTTTGGGGCGCCTGGGTGGCGCAGTCGGTTAAGCGTCCGACTTCAGCCAGCTCACGATCTCGCGGTCCGTGAGTTCGAGCCCCGCGTCGGGCTCTGGGCTGATGGCTCAGAGCCTGGAGCCTGTTTCCGATTCTGTGTCTCCCTCTCTCTCTGCCCCTCGCCCGTTCATGCTCTGTCTCTCTCTGTCCCAAAAATAAATAAACGTTGGAAAAAAAATTAAAAAAAAATAAAAGTATGAGCTTTAGAACGAGACAGATTTGTGTGCTAGTCCCAAATCTGCTACTCACCGGCTGTGTAGCCCAGGGAAAATTACTTGCTGTGTCTTCATTTTAGTTCCTTCATGTGAAATAGAAACAGTACAACAGAGTTGTACAAATTAAAGGATGCATGCAAAGGAATACTAGTCTCTTGTACATAGTAAGTGCTCAATAAACAGTACTTACTCTTTCTAAAGAAATCCAAGTGGAGAGTAACGAGGTACAAAATTAAGTTTTTACCCCATGCACACCTAGGATGAGTATATGTGAGTAACCCAAACTATGAAATCCTGTTTGTAAAACACAGAGATAATGTAGACCAAAGGAGAATTCATTCGTATGAACGTTTCATTTCCCCTTTGTTTCCACAGGCTATGCGTAGCCTTGCTTCCTGAAAGTGGGCTCAGGAGGTTGCTATAAGCCGGGACTGCAAGGCAGAATTTACCCACCAACGTAATTCTATGCAAACATTTTCTGCATGGACTATTTCTTTGGACTTGAGACACTCATTCTCTTTCCATTCGATTTTTTTTTTAATCTTTTTTTTTTTTTAACTTCTTAGCCAATGAAAGAGAACGACTAAGATTTATTTTTAAGGCTTGATTTATAAAGTAAATAGCTTACCTCTACAATGCGCAAAACGGTGAAGATTATCCAGGTGATTTAGCAATGTCCAGGATCTGCTGATGTTATGCTGCTGTTCCTTCATATCAGATTTGCTAACAGTGCTCTAGTGGGGGACTGGTGTACCCCTGTTTAGTCGGGGTAAGTGTGCCCCAACAGTCTCTGTGGGCAGGTGAGTCGGGAAGGATTATCGTAAGAAAAAATCAATTTCTGACTGACCTCGATTCCCATGAGCTGCATCGATCACAGTGTATGGTGGCACTGAATAAATGAAGAAGTTTAATCATTAATGCATTCGTCAATAAAGGTCTTCAAAAACCACTTTTAGTGAATACATCAACAAAGTTTTTAAAACGCAAATTTAGTACTCAATAATCAGTGTTATTATATGTGACCAGATTAAAAAAAAAAAAAAAAGATCACTTAAAAAGTTCAGAAACAGGCTGATCTATTTTAGGGGTGTGTGGGTGGCTCAGTCAGCTAAGCATCTGACTTCGGCTCAGGTCATGATCTCACGGTTCGTGGGTTCGAGCCCCGTGTCGGGCTCTGTGCTGACAGCTCAGAGCCTGGAGCCTGCTTCGGATTCTGTGTCTCCCTCTCTCTCTGCCCCTCCCCCGCTCACGCTCTGTCTCTGTCTCAAGAATAAATAAACATTAAAAAAAATAATAATAAAAGTTTCAGAAACAGGCTGATCTATTTTAGAAACACTGATTCAAAGGAGTGAAGCAATGAGATTATTGTGGCTTGTAGAAATCATATTTGATATGATAATAATCATGGATCACAGTTAAGATCAAATACAATGTATGACAGATTATCTCTAGCTTAAACATGCAGCTTTAATTTACCTGAGTTTATAGAAATTATCACTGTGTACAGGTCTATAGAGGTATGTTCTACTTAAAATCTAATGCAAAAATTGTGTTATTTTGAACAAAAAAAACCCCTAATTTTGATACATTTATAAGGCTGAGTTGATATTTTTCTCTAAAATTTTAGCAAGATGTAAAGCAAGTGATCTTTAACAGAATTCTGACCACAAACACAAACAAAAATAAATAAATAAAAAGTGAACAGCCTGATTATAAATCTATGTTTAAAATGAGTTTTTAAAGGGGTGCCTGGGTGGCTCAGTCAGTTGAGCGTTCCAACTTCAGCTCAGGTCATGATCTCACAGTCTGTGGGTTCGAGCCCCGCATCAGGCTCTGTGCTGACAGCTCAGAGCCTGGAGCCTGTTTCCAATCCTGTGTCTCCCTCTCTCTCCGCCCCTCCCTCAGTCTCACTTTGTCTCACTCTGTCTCTCAAAAATAAATAAATATAAAAAAAATTTTTTAAATGAGTTTTTAAAGATGGAGCATTCTAAATGAGCTCAATATCAAAAGAAAAAAACTTGTTTGGACTATATACATAGAAAATATATAGTTTTTTAAAAAGTTTATATATTTATTTTTGAGAGAGAGGGAGAGAGAGAGTGTGACAGCGAGTGAGGGAGGGGCAAAGAGAGAGGGAGAGAGAGAATCCCAAGCAGGCTCTGCTCTGTCAGCACAAAGCCCGATGTGGGGCTCGAACTCACGAAACCCTGAGATCATGACCTGAGCCGAAACCAAGAGTCAGACGCTTAACTGACTGAGCCACCCAGACATCCAGAAAATACATAGGTTTGTAAAAATCCGTATTTTAAACCAGAACATTTTGCGTCTTTTATTTTTAATCTTTTCTGAGTGCCAACAATTTTCTAGGTATTATATATAATACATAGGCTTTAGTCCCAAGGACTATTACCATACATTTCACACTGGAATGAATGAAGTTGTACTTAAATTTGAGGGGAAAAGAAATACTCAGGTCCCCAACTGAGAGCTGTTTTGCCTGGTTGAGAGTTACATTGTACCTCTGGCACAAAACGTGTGAAATTCTCAAATGTGTTTGGCTATTCAAAGGCAGTATGTCTTCTCCCCGTTTTTCTTCTTAAATACAATCAGAAACAAGTTATCTACTTTGGAAGAATTATTTTCAGTGATCACACCACACTGGTTACCTAAAAGTGGCCCCATCATCTCCCCTAACTCCCACACGTTCTGCTTCTGCATATTAGAATTCAAGTGAGTTGCAGTGGATTGGGATGTTGCAATATTCTTTCACACTCATGGGTTGTACTGTCCTCCGCTGATTTAGAACGATGTCTCTTTTGGGAATAGCCTAAACAGGGTTATAATATTATCTCATTTCCACATCAATACCTGCCTATAAAAGCGACAAATCTTATAAGATTGAATATAACAGTTTTGCAAAAAATGGATGAATGTCTCTGTTCGATTGAGGAAATATGCACTGCCCTTTTGCTCATTAGTTGAAGGACATACCAAACTTAAATTTTACAATAAGGCTAGAGTTTTGTAAAATCTTGGGTCCCACTCGTAAGACCACAGTCTAGCTGACTTGTTTCCCAAGGACACTCTAGGGATGCTGTCTTTTCTGTGCATGTTGTGAATAGTAACCATACTTTTAAATCTGTGTTGTCAATGACAAATTTACTTGAAATTAAGGTTGTCTTTTGTTATGTTTTTTTTAACCTATAGGATAAGATTCCAGTGTTGTATGTGAATGTCTATAACAAATAAAAAAAATCAAATTGTGTACATTTGGAAATATTTGCACATATTTTTTATTAAATGTAAAGTTGCCTTTGAAACTACTCTGATGTGTCCTTTCTGAACAAAACTATTACATCTTATAAAAATGCTACCTTTTAAGTTTGCCATTACTTTTATCACCCCTCATTTTGATGTATTCTTTATATCTCCAGTTCTATTTGTTTATGTATAGTGTCTTTTAGTAAAGACTTAACAATGCAATAAAAAATGTTATAAATAACCTCAGTTAATTCTTACCAAGTGATTCTTATTTTGTGCAATGTTGATTATTTTAAGCTAACTTTTCACGTTTCTACAACATATGTATCAAAAGGATACAAAGTATAATGTACCCCTTGGAATTTTCACAAAGCAAGGACACCGGTATAATCACCATCTAGGTCCATAACCAGCAGCCCAGAAACCCTCTCATGCCCCTTCCCAGTAACTGCCCTAAGGGCTAACTACTAACACTTGTGTGGTGTCTGTCCGATTGGATGGGGGGCCCACAAATGTCAGGTGACAATCAGGTAGGAGCCTGCGGCCTGAGCACTGAAAGGATTCACCCAAGGCAGCCCAAAGGAAATAGAAGTTTATGGAATACACCACAAGGCAGTGGTGGGCAGGACAGCAGGGGGGAGGCTGTCTGCAAGGAGGCAGTGGGTGGGGGGTGTTTTGAAAGGGGGAAGATGACAAAGTATGCTGACTTATTGAACTTTCCCTTTTTTGGTACCTGTGCCTGGTTGTAAGTAGCCCACTGGTCAGTTAGGAATTAAGGGTATTTCCGGGTGGGTCGCCTGATTGTCCTGTCTGTTCAGCCAGGTAGTCGCTGGGGCCCTCTCTGCATTCTATCACTGCTCAAACCTGTTTGCCTAAAAGCGGCCTCTACAACTTGTTTTTTGAACTTCAAGCAAATCAAACAAGGAATCAAACAAGCTGATTTCTTATTTTCCCCTTCTGTTTTGTGTCTCCCCCTATTCGACATTACGAGCGATTCATCCATGTCACTGCGTATAGCAATCATTCATTCATTCTCACTGCTGTGTTCTGTTGTCTGAATTTACTACCACTTATTTATCCATCCTACTGTTTGTGGACATGTGTGTCATCATTTTTTAGCTCTCATAGATATTCTCGTTCATTTTTGTGTGTGTGTTGAACATGCACACACAATTCAGTGAAGTATATGCCGGGGGATGGGGTGGCGGGGCCGTGTATGCATGTTTTGCTTCAGTAGATACTGCAGTGGACTCATCTAACATCTACAGCAGACTGTTTCCCATCAGCATGCTGGGAAAAAGCATGAGGATCCCAAAGCCTTGCTTGCCACATGCTTTTGTCAACACTTGGTTTGTGTGTCTTCTCCACATTTGCATGTTGCTGATGACTAAAGAAGTTGAATGCCTTCTCAGATGTTTATTATTATTTAAATATCCCCTTTTGTGAACCATCAGCCCAAGCCCTTTGCCAATTTCTCTTTTCAATCATCTGCCTTTTTCGAATGGCCTTGTAAGAGTTTACATAGGGAGGATACAAATCCTTTCTTTTTTAAAAATTTTATTTACTTATTTATTTTTTAATTTACATCCAAGTTAGTTAGCATATAGTGCAATAATGATTTCAGGAGAAGATTCCAGTGATTCATCCCCTATGTATAACACCCAGTGCTCCTCCCAGCAAATATCTTTCTTAATGCCCCTTGCCCATTTAGCCCAGCCCCCCAACCACAACCCCTCCAGCAACCCTGTTTGTTCTCTGTATTTAAGAGTCTCTTATGCTTTGTCCCCCTCTTTGTTTATATATATATATTTGCTTCCCTTCCCTATGTTCATCTGTTTTGTATCTTAAATTCCACATATGAGTGAAGTCATACGATGTTTGTCTTTCTCTAATTTCGTGTAGCGTAATACCCTCGAGTTCCATCCATGCTGTTGCAAATGGCAAGATTTCATTCTTTTTGGTTGCCGAGTAATATTCCATTGTGTGTGTGTGTGTGTGTGTGTGTGTGTGTGTGTATGTGTGTGTACCACACTTTTTTTTTTTCAACGTTTTTTATTTATTTTTGGGACAGAGAGAGACAGAGCATGAATGGGGGAGGGGCAGAGAGAGAGGGAGACACAGAACTGGAAACAGGCTCCAGGCTCTGAGCCATCAGCCCAGAGCCCGACGCGGGGCTCGAACTCACGGACCGCGAGATCGTGACCTGGCTGAAGTCGGACGCTTAACCGACTGCGCCACCCAGGCGCCCCATACCACACCTTTTTTATCCATTCATCTGTCAATGGACATTGGGCTCTTTCCATAGTTTGGCTATTGTCGCTAGAGCTGCTGTAAACATTGGGGTGCGTGTGCCCCTTTGAAACAGCACACCTAGAACACAAACTTTTTGTTGTGTAGGGGCCAAGGGCAGGCCGCCTCAGAATGGGCCACTTTGGCATGAAGATTATCTTTGAGTTAAAAGCAATCAAAACCCAGAAGATTCAGGAGAAGCTCCTTTACCTGCCCCACAACAGCCCAAAAAGAATTGAGATAGAAGACCTACTCTAGGAAGAGAGGTATCACCAGGGATAATTGTATTATGATATGAACTAGGTAGGGTAGACAGTGAGAAACTTAGCAACTGTTTGATCAACTGTATGTCCCATTGTTTCTGAGTGGCCCCGCAAACACTTCACAAACATTTACTCTTTTTCATCTTCCTGTGAATTGTATTCTGTCCCCTTGAAGCACCAGAACCCCTACCCAGTTCTCCTTAGTTCGGAATGTCATAGGTACCTCTTTTTGCCTCTCCGTGTCTGTGTGGACTCCCT